GTGTCCGTGGGCCATATGCCTGGCAGCACTGTTTTCTACCTTCCCGTTCTTAAATTTTTCTATAAATCCAAAGATCTTAACTGAAATATTGTGTATGTACAATTGTACACGATGCGACTAAAAAAAATACTGTACTTCTGCAAGAAGAGCCCTTCTTTCTTAAAAACTACATTTTCAATAAACTAGGTCGGTATCTTATTGCTCATTTGAAAAAAAGACTTAAATTCTAAAGTAAATCCAGATACATTTTGACAAAGAGCATTATGTTAAATACAGTACTGTACTATACAGTAGGCTTAATTTTCTGTACTAGTGGATTAGCTGCATTACATTTTCAATGAACTAGGGCAGTATTCTATTGAGCATATTGCTCATTTGAAAAAAAAATACAGTTATAAATTCTAAAATAAATCTATAGATACATTTTGACAAAGAGCATCATGTTAAATACTGCACTGTACATTATGCTTGATTTCCTGGACAAGAAAATTAGCTTTTCTATTTTTTACGATTGCACAATTCGAATTTTTCAATTCCTCTCTGCCAATTATTGAAAATTCCTATGAACCAGTCAAACATATTCAAGGCAAAAAATCTGTTACAATAATCTGAATTATTGATGAAAATTAGTTGGTTGATCGCAAAATGTTCGGAGGAATTGCCCGCACCTAGATAATACTTTGTCATAACGAAATTCCATAGTAGAAAAAAAATGTTGATCTGTCTTATGTTTGGAACCTCAATGCTGAAAAGAGAAATTATTTACTGTTCCAGTACAGTCTCTTGGAGGCATTTCAAGATGCAGCTCAGAGTTTCTGTTCAGAGGGAGTGCGAATCCAGATTCAGGCCAAAACCACTGATTGCACAAAAAATTGAAAAGAAACACAAAGATGATTGACAAAATGACAATGTTATTTCATTCTTCCACCACATTTGTGAGATTAGATCTGACGCAAAATTGCACGTTTTTCCACTGACACCCGTAAGGACAAATCGCACAATAATGGAAGCATGTTACACAAATTTCTTCAGGCATCTTGAGTTTGCCCAACTGCGCGACTTTTGATTCTCAAAACATCACAGGAATGTAAGGTCAATTGAGAGACGAATACTTTAATTATAATTGTTGGTAGAAGTACAACGCAAAAATTGAAAAAAAGTGGCTGAATACGCGGAGAAAATGAGCCTTTTCTTCTTAAAAGCCAAAATTCAAAGGTATGATTTCAGAAAAGTATTTTCATCACATAAATTTGTTCAAGCATATTTTTTATGATCTAGGCAACTCAACAAAAGGGAGACACTCTTCTTCAAACAGCTGATGAACATTTTCAATCCAAAATCATCTTTCCCTGGTCATGCCAAACATACTACTGACGCATTTGGAGCACAGCCAAGATTAATTTCAAGAAAGGTAAAAAAATTCACTTTCTTGCAGGAAGTAGGTTATGTAATACTGCCTGCTTCTCTGGCATCCACTTGGCATCATACATGAGCAGACTTTCCAAGCATTAACATGAAGTTGATTTTGATAGCTCAAACCTTTTCAAGTCAAATAATCCATACCTTGAATTTTTTCAAGTCCCTGTCTGAATTTTCTCGGAAACAGTAATGAACTCATTTGTAGAGGGCTTTTTGGCTATTACTGTATTATATTTGCACAGAAAAAAGAGAAGGCAAAAAATGTGATTTCATGTGCTTCAAAAGGAAATAAAAGACTCATTGGGCAAATGCTTTGCCTTCAAGTGAAATTTCCTGTCAACTCATTTAAGAAGCACTGTAAGGCCCAGAATATCACCAACTAAAATTTTCCTGCAACCACATCACACAGAAAAAGAGTACTTCTTTCCTAAACTTGAATTTTTGTTTGTCTATTGAGGTTCAGCTGTATTAATTACAAAACATCTAATCATAGCAAATTCTTGCTTGAAACAAATTCAAGCCCCTGCCCACAAGACACACTCATTTTAATTCAACATGTTTTCTGTTGTAGCAAAGGTAATTTTCTTGCTCCCCAAGACTTCATTTTTTGTATTAAAAAGAAAAGATTTCACTGGTTTTCAACAAAATCAGACCCTACACTTCTGCTTGAATGAATGCAGAAGTGCATGCAAACAATACAATGCCTATGCAAATACAGTATAATAATATTTTTCAGAAAAGTTCTTCATAGTCAAAAGTTCAATTCTCAGCAGTAAATTTTCTTGGACAATTGCACTCTGTGAGTGGCTTCAGCACTGGAACAAATAGAATTTGAGGGACTATAGATGCGCAGATAATAAAGGTTACATTGCATTCGAATTAATGAGATTTCAAAAATTGGAAAACTTGCCTCAAGACATTCCTGTGTTTCACAGTCTCAGCATCAAAACCAGATCACCCCGTCCGTGTCACGAAAAAAAAATACATATGTATACAATCTGCATATATAAATACTCTTCGCAATGCCTCTCCCTCGCAAAAAATAAAAAATCAGCAAAGATCAGTCACTGATGAGGAAACTTATTCCATGGAACAAGCAAACGGCCGACCTTATCCAAATTTTGAAATGAAATAACAATTTTAAAAAAAAAAAAGACACCGGAGTTTCACACACATCAACTCTCGAACGATTTTTCGGAATCGCTCACTCACGAATCATACACAGCAAAATTCCTTTACAACGAATTTTTTTTTCTCGGTCTTGTCACTTTTTTCACTTAGGGCCACTGTTACAAAAATATCGTCACAAAGACATTATTTTACTCTATAATCTCATCAATATAGCGAATTTTCGCCTTTGCGCCATAGATTTTTTTTTTACGAATTGGCCAATATAGGAGAACCCAACTTGTGCATAATTGAAAAAAACCTTGAAAAATTATAAATGATGATTATTTTTTTGCGAAGAAAACCAAGTACTGCAGGAAATATGAAGTTGGAAATTTGGGTTATTCTTCACAAATCTGTCGTGGAAATAACTTTTAACTAATTATGACCAGTTCACCACAAATTTTCAGTCCTTTAATTTTTCTTTATAAATATTTTTTTTCTCAGGTCACGTTTGCAGTTTGGAGTTCGTTGTAACGAGATTTTTACTGCATATAATCATCAGTCAGCAGATGGCAGGCACTTTAGTCTTTCGAATGCAGCTTGTTCCAGAGCCTCGCGATGGTCGGGATGAGCAATGTTGATGAGCGCATAGGCCCTTTGACGCAGGTTCTTGCCAAATAAATCCGCAATTCCGTACTCCGTCACCACGTATTGCACGTGGGCCCGCGTCGTCACGATTCCAGCACCTGTGCAGAAAAAAAAAACGGGGAATTTCAGCAAGCACACATCATCCCATAATTTTTATCCAAATTAGTTGAGGGATTTGTCACAGGAATCATTATTATCAACTCTGATCACAAGAGTTTGTCATCTGGCTATTGTTGTGTCCCAAAAACATGTTCGTATAGATACTTGTTCCAGTGCACAAATTTCTCCCTGCCCAGCAACTCAATTCTAAAATGGTGTCATCATTATTGTCTTGTTTTTTCCTGCTTGGTCACCAGTTGTCATTTATGCTGTTGCAGTCACCCACCTTTTGCAAGAGGTCTTGAGTCTATACAGGTACACACAGATGTAATCATTGTTGGTCTGGCTTCTGTTGCATATTGAAATACAGTGAGAGACCCCCACATGCAGACACCTTGATATGCAGACAATTTGACATAGGGACACTTATATTCTAATAAAAAATTATTAAAAATGCCCAACATGTGGACACTGACTCAACATAGGGACATTTTGTGATAAAATTGCAAATACATTTTCCTCCAGCATAGAGGGACTTCCTTCTCTCTTTTTCACTTGAATGTTATTTTTACAGAGAATGCCAACAATTCTATGCACTGTACAGAGGTATCAGAATTCAATTCCCCAAATAAATTTTCTTATTGTGTTGAAATTTGATTTAATCAGTTCAAATTGGGAGACAATTTTTATTTTCATGTAATTATGGTGAGTATTTTGTCCATAAAACACAAATTAAAAACTATATAATGTAAGTCTAAGGGAAAATGAGACTCAACTTAGGGACATTTTTACTTGGGGACACTCTTGAAGCACCAATTATGTCGACATCTTGGGGTCTCACTGTATATATACATATATTCACACTCTAAAACAAGAAGTCTTGTTTCACTTTGAATCAACCACAGCCATAAGACCTAACACTTCTCATTGATAGATTTATCCTTGAGTAAGATACAGGAGAAGAATTCTTTGTATTTCAAAAAGACGTTTCTGTGGTCTCAGGAGACTGGTCCAAATAATTTAACTTCTGGAAAATTTGCTAAGTACCTTCGTGAAGCACAGGGACAACCTTGGACTTGCCGTCTTTCGTCGTAGACGGAAACGCGAGAATCGGTTTGCCACGTCCATCCGAGCTCAACTTAGCCCCCCTGAGGAAATCCACTTGACCTCCGACTCCTGAATAAATCCTAGGTCCGATGGAATCCGACACAACTTGACCCGTCAAGTCGACCTCGATGCAGGAATTGATGGCCGTCACTTTCGGGTTCTGGCAAATGATCCACGGGTTGTTTGTAAACGCCACGTCTTTCATTGCTGCGTAAAAAAAAGATCAGTTGATGATCAACGAAATTCAACACGTTCAGTCGAGACAAAGAAGGAGAAAACTTCCGAACGAGCGCCTTTCGCAAAAATCAACTTGAGGAGTTTTTCGAATTCACAAGCATTGGTTCATAAGCTTCGCCAGTCTTCGGACTTCTGATTACCCAGTATCACAAAATTTTCAAGGACGAAAGCTAAAAGGAAAATTTTTGAATCGTTTCCCATATTTTCATCGCAATGTATGCCCACCCAGGGCCAAAAATTTCAAAATGGCGCAGAGACGACCAATTTCAAGCGCATCTAAGCGTAGAACCAAGGTTAATTCACCACATTTTCCTTTGTCCAACAAAAATACAGTATAATCTCTTTACAACAAACTCCAAGGAACCTGAGAAAAAAATTAGTTATACTGACATTCATGGTTCTTCGAATATTTCGGACTTGAAATTCTACGGGAAACATCAAAATGCTCAAGAGTAATTTCACGACAAATACACGAAGAATCGCCCAGATTTACAATTCCTTCTGATGAAATCATGGAGAAAATTCAAAATGTGAAATACAATTTTCTCATTTCAGACCTTTCCTTTCTTAAATTTCATAATAATACACCAATCTCACTCAGGTACGAGCCAAAATAAACAGAAAATACTGTACATGTGTTAAAAGAACATTCATTCAATAGGAACTACATGTTCTTCGAGATAGAGCAAAATCCTTCCAAGACATATTTTTTCTTTCAAAAAATAAGCCATTTCTAGATTCTAAAATAAAGTTGAATAAATTCTGATTCGAGCTTTATAATTCCCGGTTGAACATTAGGATCTGAAATTCACCAATGAGAGGGTTGTCGTGCATAAAGTCCCACAACTTCTGGGTCCCATTCGCGAACGCAGACACGATCTTTCCCTGTTGCGTCTTCTTCTCGTGATTCGTGATGGCGCCACAGTCGACTAGCGGCACGATCCCGTCACTAAACATCTCCGTGTGAATCCCCAGGTTCCGGTGACCCTTCAAAGACCGCAAAACGGCGTTCGGGATGTTGCCGATGCCCATTTGCAAAGTGGCGCCGTCTTCTACGAGGTTCTGAGCAATGATCTCTCCAATCTGCGTTTCTATTTTCGAAGTGTGCTTGAAGACGAGTTCGGGCAAGGGTTCGTCCACTTCTACCATCACGTCCACGTGGCTCTTGTGAATGATTCCGTCACCGAATGTCCGAGGCACGCGGGGATTCACTTGACCTGAGATCGGGATACGTGAGTGGGAATAGACACGCAATGAATCGTCTGATTGAAATTAACACAAATTCTGAACCCTGCTGCACAGGTTTTGGAAAATTCAGCCTACTCGAATAAACACAACGATCAAAAAACGTTTGTGACTACTGTATATCATTTACCAATAATGAAGGAACTGTGTTGAAGGGCAGCTCTTGTGCAATCCACACTGGCTCCGAGGCTGCAGAACCCATGTGCATCCGGAGGCGTGATAGAAATCAGCGCTATGCTCGGTTTCATCCGACCCGTGTGAAACAAGAGCGGAATTTCACTCAGAAAGATCGGCATGTAATCCGCTCGACCTTCACCCACTGCCTTTCTGCTGTTCGACCCAACAAACAGCGAATTCGAGCGGAAAATCCCTTCGTATTCCGGGTTGTTGTACAGGGCAGGGCCTTCGGTGTGCATGTGTGTCACCGTGATGTTGCTCAATCCTGTATAACGATGAGGAAAAAAAAAAACAGAAGATTAGTACGAACGAACTTGCACTCGTCTATTTCAGAATAAACGAGTACTCGAAGTTGCGGAACATACATCTCTAAGTCGAACTTCACGGGACTTCGAGTTGGGAAAACAAGCTAACAAGCATATTTTTATCGGCGGAAAGAAAGAAGAAGTAAAAGAAATTGTAAAGGCGATACTCCAGGCTTTGAATCGCGTTGACGAGATCGTTGAAATCGGAGGCGAAGGTTCATATGCCTAAATAGTCTTTCACTTCCTTTCCAAATGCATCAAGTTGAATTCTTATTGCTTTCCTCTTTCCTATGTCAATAAAATAATGCCCAGAAGGCCTTTAGAAAATTCGAGTTATGGAGGTTTCGGGGGGATTGCATTCGAGTTGAGGAGGTTCTCACTTGTTTCTATAAGAGTTCAGACAGGGACTTGAGAAAAAAAAACGACATAAGAGATTATGCATTCGAATAAGGGAGGTTCGATTTATCCAAGTTAAACTATATTTCAAAAAACGAATCATCCTAGGTTTACGACTGTGTTCATGGTGAGAAAGCGTATGAAGTCGACATAGTGTCCTCTGTAAGTTAATCGATGCAATAATGTCTTGAACCACACATGGAATAGCTTGACCATCGAAATGATCATCTTTACGATCACAAGCAGAACTAGATGTACCACACACACGCGACAAGTTTTGAAAACTTAGTAGAAAAATCATGACATTGATGCTAACCCAGAACTATTCTACGCAGAAAAAAGCTGTGGTTTCCAATATTTCATTCAGCATGATGGCCGCGATTGTGACACGATTAAAATAAGAGCCTATTCATAAGGATGAATTTCACCGGAGATCAATTCCTAGCGAAAATAATTACTGTAAATTCGCAACAATACGACTTGCCATAAAAAATGAGTTTAGTACAAAATTATAAAAATGGACAAACACATCTGCAGCCACGTGAATCATACTTTTACTGTGAAGCAGGGCTTGAAATACATGGAAAAACGTTTCGGTACTGTAGGCGAAGCTCAAGTTAATCTCGAATAACAGAGCTCAGAATACCGGGTATCATGGGAATGCTTTGAGGAAGGCAGGCATATTTTGGTCGAAAAAACTTGGCATTCATGCGTGAAGAATGGTTCAGTACTAAAATGTTTCCGCATTACGAAACACCTCACTAACACAGATATAAATTGAATAGGTTTCGTCTGCCGACATAAAACTATTCGCAGGTAACTCACATATTTGACAAAAACCCTCGTACTTGATCGTATTCGGAACTTAGAACGACACGTCATCTCACAGAATTCCTCATGGGAAAGTTCCCTTCCACACAACACTTTCGATAAATTGGTCGTAGCATGTTGAATAATTTGACTACGCCACTCATAAATACAACAGCACAGAGAAAAACTCACCTGCCGCCTTGCCGTGAATGCACATCGCATTCACGAGAACATTCGGACACATGGCGGCAGATTGGACGAAAACCAAGTCCCCGCTTTTCAATGGCTTCACGGCGTCTTCTGCTGTCATCCAAACAGGCTCTCTGTTCAAAGGATGGAATGGTTCCATCGTCTGCGTGTAATAAGTCCTGTGCTTGTCTCTCATCATCACTCCACACATCTTCGTCGTTTGAAAATTATTCACGCTTCGGCGGAACGCGAGGCACAACAACTTCCCTCGCTGCAACATTTTCATCTTTCGCGGTATAAAAAATATGAAATAAAAATCTGCGAAGAAGAAAGGAAATTCGCACGTTTAACCGAGGTTTGCTCCGCAATGTGAATCCTCAACGAAGCCAGGAATGCCACTTCCATTCGAATTCCATACATCACCTGAAAATAAGACGCATCATAAAGAGACTTGGCAACAATCGGTCTCGAACTGTACACGGAGACAGAAGACAAACGTGAACCTTCGCCTCATCAGCAAGTCAAAGTAGTCCTGGGTGAAAGAATAAAGAAAAATACTGGCTCCATGCACGGGGAAGTAAAACACTCGACAAGGCCAAGGGCACGTGATAAAGCTCCGGGAAATATTCGTGCAATAATACTTCATATGCTGCCTTCAGGGATTAATTTCCTTCCAGATTCAACACCTTCGCACAATGTTTATTCACCATTTGAAGGTTGAGGTGTTTGGAAAGTCAGTGAGCCATCGGGAAATCATTCGATGCGCGCAGAATCTTGGGAGTAAAGCCTGAAGAACAGCATATGAATTGTTGATGAAGGCGTTGATGCTGAAAAACTTGCGTGCAACAGGCGAAGTGCAAAAATTCGTCACTGAATTACACGAAAATCGATCAATTCTTGCATAGTCGAATTCCTTCAAGTCAAACTTCAAGCGATCAGCAACAAAAATTCGACTTCGGGGAGGATTCGAGCTTGGGCAACAATCATTTGTGTTCGGGGAAATAGAGAAAAATCACAGGAAATTTTAATTGGCGATATTCTGCGCCTCAAATTGCTTTTTCAATGAGTTGGCAGGGTTTAGTTGACCAATTAGTCTTTCACTACCTTTTTCCTGCCTATTAAATAATAGGCATCCAGAAAATTCGAGTTATGGGGGTTTGAGGAAGACCTTTGTTTAGGGAGGTTTATAATGCATTTTCTCAGGGAATTCAGACAGAGACTTGAAAAAATTGACATTACGAAGATATCTGACTTAGGAAGTTAGGAAGGCTCGAGTAATCGAAGTTTCATTTTAGTAAGTCTCAGGACTAGCAACTCATACAAAAACAGGAGGAATCCAGAATCGTATCGTAATCGAGATAACTCGACAGAATATATATTCTGTTACACTTAGCGACTAAAAATCGTTTTAATGCACAAATCGGGCAAACCAATAACGTAAATCAAAAATGTCTGATAGCACACCAACTTTTCCGATACGTTATATTTCTTAAAACCTCATCCAAAAATATGTAGGGACACCGTCATCCAACATCCACCGGGGATTAAACGAAGCACAAACGGTTACCAAAGATTTGAAATATACACTTTTCTTCCACATAAATGGAATAATCCGGAATTGAGAATGACTCGAATGAAAAAAAAAAATTGCCCGTTCAATCACAACTGCTCACAAAGACGCAGATCAACCGCAACAACCGGACTTCTCGGCTATTGCTGCAGCTTCTTCGTCACTGCTTAGGACTTGAACGGAGTTGCGACCTCCTTGTCCAAGCAACGAACCAGGCCTTTCGCCTCGCTCTTCCTTCTCCTTAGCACTCTCGATCATTCGTTGCGTGAGCTCAAGGAAAACGTCTTGAATACCTCGGTTAAGTTTAGCACTCGTCGAATAGTGTTTTGCTCCCACAGATTTCGCATACCTGAAAAGATTTGAACAAATCATGAATCCGTGCGACGAGCGTAACTTCAAATGTTCTCGTCAAGTGCAACATCTCTCCGTACGCTTCGAGTGATAAGGATATAAAAACCATGTTCTTTTTCTGAGGAACAGAACATAGATACATCGCCCATGTGTTTGGTCACGCACTAGTTACGATACGCACACGAATATTCACTTTCATCGCTTTTGACACTTACTAAAATATATTCATAGCAATGAATCCCACTTTCTAATCGCATTTAAAAAGTTCAATCAATATTCGTCTCATTCGGTCCTTCGGCAGGATCACCGAACCATCTTCAAGCCTACATCATACACGAATATATTCGAGTAAATCGCGAGCAGGTTTTCACAAGGTAAAAGTGAACATTTGCGTTACGAATAGGCGCATAAAATGAAGTACATGACTCACTTTTCAGCCTCTTCGATAGGCACCACACGGCCACGCTCCAAGTCTATTTTGTTGCCAGCTATGCACAAACACACACTGTTCCCGAGCATGGTTCTCAATTCCTTCACCCAGTTTTTGACTCGCGTAAATGAATCCTCGTCGGTAATGTCATAAACTAATACGGCGCCGTTGGCTTCTCGATAATAAATCGGGCCCAACGCATGGAACCTCTCCTGGCCAGCTGTATCCCAGATTGCCAAATTTGCTCTGGTCCCATTCAGATTCAGCTTTTTAGATAGGAAAGAGGCCTACAACGAAAAGAAAAGACGAACTCACTACAGTTGGAGTGAGGGAGATGGTTCGAGTATTCTTAAATCACCTGAAGGGTTGATACATGCTTATCATTGAATTTATCTTCAACGTAACGGATCACCAAAGATGTTTTTCCCACACAACCTTCGCCAAGGAGCACAACCTTGAAGGTATACGCTTTAGCCGTTGCATTCGACGACATTCTCCAAAAATCTCCTTCGATCGGACGTAGGGGATTCCTCAAGAAAATCTATCCGCGTGCCACATCCATCAACCCTTTTATTGTTGAATACAGTGCTTCTCTGGATTCGAAACATATACTGTATCTCAAACCTCCCGCTTTCAGAATCCACGGTCACGAAGTTTGTTAGACCTGCTAAGAAAATAAATTCAGAAAATCAAATAAATGTTTCTTCGAAGTTGTACGAGGAAGAAAAGACCGTCACAACACTGAACACTCACCCTCTGAATGTCAAAAACTACTATTATCTGCCTCATCGTGCCAAGATAGCGCCACTCGGAAGAGTCACAATTGCACCGAAAGAGTTACACACAACAACCGTATACATGTACGCTGAGTTCTTAGCCACGACGAATGAATCCGTTGCACACCTTCCGTTCCTACACGCGCAAACGACGGTGTGGCAGGCAGGGCGTACTCCCCAGGCACAGTCATGAGGGGGAGTCCTCCTAATCAGGTGTAGGCGCCTCACGCTAAGACGTCTCCGAAAAGCCGTCACTCGTGAATGCGTCACCAAAGAAGGTGTCTTGAGTCTCCTTTCAACTAAGGTGTCACTAAGTTAAAGCAGCATTTACTTCGGCAAAAATAATTATGAATTCTGCGAAAATCTATTTTCACAGGAGGCCTTGGAGCTATCCCACTTGGGCGAGCCACGCGCAAAACAATGCCCTCATAGATGTTGCTAAGAACAACATATGGAATGTTATCAGCGGCATCCATGTGTGGTTCTCATAAATGAATCCTCTTCCCCCCAATTATTCAACAACCCTGTTGTTCTGATGTTAGGGTACACTATCCTCAGCCTTACCATTGGTCTTTTCATCCTTGATCCAAGTTCATTACTGACAGTATTTGAATTGAAACATGAATTGACACTTGTATTGTTATTTATTGGGATTCAGCTGAAACTTACTTGGGGGAGGGGGGCCGTTAGGTAAGGTCAGGCCATGTTTGTTGAAATATTTCATTTTTATATTGACATCTGTTCATTGAAAATATTTTAACTAACATAACCTGACCTAACCTAACTTTACCTAATCACCCTCCAAAGTCAGTTTTAGCAGAATCACAATAAATAACAGTGCAATAATATGATGAAAAATCAATTCACATTTCAATTTGAATGTTGTAAGAGGTCTTTAATGCATTGATTCTAAGGGGATTCAGACAGGGACTTGAAAAAAATTGACTTATGAAGGAATTTGACTTAGCAATGTTCAACTTATTGAGATTCACCTGTACCATGCTTTAGCACCTCCTAATAAACTTGGCACACATTTTTTTTGCCATCATGCTGGTCTGTAACAAGGCCTCCTGTAAAAATGTATTTTGGCAGACTTTAAAATTTGTTTGCCAGAGTAAATGCCACTTCAAGAATCACCATGGAATTGGCTCTCCTCCAAATTTTGTTGAAAGAACTACTGCATGCGTTTACCATGGAACTTCACTACGCGGATTTGAATAGACCCGCCGGATGGCATAGCACACACTGGAGTACACCCTGCCTAGGTAGGGTGTACTCCTAGAGTGCATCCTGCCTAGGCAGGGTGTACTACTGGAGTACGATTTTGGGGGAGTACGCCCTGCCTGCCACACCGGAACCAAAATTCCTGGGATCACGTGGGAGGGGAGGGTGGCAGGTGCAAAAGGAAGGCACTATGCCAAATCCGCGAATGGAATTTCCGTGTACTTGGGCAATCCCCTGAAATAATATGCGCCATATATCCATAACTATACGTGGCCACCCCGTCCCCGAAGAAATACTGTATAAACCACTGTATTTTACGCATGCAATAATTTGCACTGGATTTTATCCTACTATGTATACAGTAGTTTATATAATGTACTGTCTTTTGTCCAACTTTTTTGCAAACATGACACATATTAATGATGAAGCTTTCGAAAATATACTGTAGATGCATTTGCAACCGGAGGTAATTATTTTCCTCCCAATAAGAGATCACATTCTCGAAATTGCTGCAGAATTACATGTTCGTGGAAGAAATAGTTTCAGGACACCAAATGATGCTGCTGGTCGTATACAGGTTCAGCTAAGTCCATCACGGAACATCTACGCTGAGATGCGGACAATTCCCCAAGAATCATATGGCTAAATGGCAAAACGTGGATAACTAAACCGTGGATGCTCTCCAGAACTTCAAATTTGTCCATGGTCCTGATGAATGAACGGTTATATAATCGAGTTTCATAAATAAATCTGACTATAAAAGTGAAGATTACGTCAAGAACTGTCCATGATATGTTTAAGTAAATATGGTACACTATTATTTGATCTATCATCAGCGAAGCAGTGTGGAGTACAATATTTGGGTGCTGCTTTGACACGCCTATTAAATGATGCGCAATGTAAAGTACAACGACGAAACATTTGAAGGCAATCATCAGAATTACAATACTGCACCTCTACAATAATAGAGGCTCTTCATCCCATAATTTTTCTCATGCAGAAGTATCTTGAGCCTATTATACGAACGATTATATTTGCTGGATCAACAAATTTATTTTTAAAGGGTTTCATACATATGCAAGAATACATTGTGAACGTCAGTGGATCTTTTTCACATAGATTCACCGCATTAAAAAATTAAAATCGTGGCTGAATATATTTTTGAGCAAGTTTATAAAGGTAAACTGAAATTGAAGGGTTACAGCTTTTGCATTAAGTGTTAAGGAAGAGTTGAAACTGAACCACTGCCTCCAAGGGAGCTGGGTGAAAAACTTTCAACACGCAGTCAAGACATGAGGACAAGTTAGACGAGGTCTTTGGACCTGGAGGTCCTCATTCGACGCTCAATCCGTGCAGCCCGTCGCTAGATTGCGTTGTGTTCCTATTACAATTTCTTTATTGGAAATTCTTTTTAACGCTACGGTGCACGTTTTGCCGACTAACCCCCTCCTCCCACTTACGTGTGGATGCGGTGCTACCTCTTTCCTATGGATTATCGATGCGATCGTCGAGGTAGTTGTGTGGCAACAGTTCGCAATTTTAAATGATCTTCCAAAGGATTTGCCGTGAAGAGCTTGTTCGCTTATATTATATCTGGTTCTTTTGCAGATCGATTTACGATCAGCCCAAATTTCTGTTCCTTTTTCTCCTTGACCTCCGTGTTTTCATAGGAGGAGTTAAATTATGGCTTTCAGGGGTATATCCAGCGGTCGAAGAATGGTGAGTGCATAGCTCTCGTAAGTTTGCAATTTCTTATTGGATGCTTCTTTGCAGCTTCTAGCTAGTCTCGGTGTAGGTACCGCCGCCGGAGCTGGCGTGCTATATGGGCTGAACGAGTCAGTGAAGGCGTCCGGAATCGAGTTACATCCACCTCACCTCCCATGGAGCCATCATGGATGGTTCAAATCTCTCGATCACGCCAGGTACAGTGACATTGTTTGACTGCATCGACCTTGAATTGTGAAATTCCCGAATTCCGGCGAAGTTCTTTTGAGTGACGAATGAAAATTCGCAGTGTCCGGCGCGGGTATGAAGTATACAAGCAAGTCTGCGCCGCCTGCCACAGTATGCAATACATTGCATACCGACAACTTGTTGGAGTTTCACACACAGAGGATGAGGCGAAAGCTGAAGCCGCTGAAGTACAGGTTAGCATCCCTCTTGTACGCGTTACTGTTACGCTCCGTTCATTGTCAGAAACTCGCGGAACGTGATCCAAGTTCGAACTTCAGCCGATTGACCCTGCTGTAGATTCGATAGTGTACGCTCGTGCACGATTCTTTTGTATGCTTTGTTTCGTCATCGGAAATTTATGAGAATCACATGTTCGAGATGGTTATGCTTCAGGTTGAAGATGGTCCTGATGATACGGGAGCCATGTACATGCGGCCAGGGAAGCTCAGCGACTACTTTCCTAGTCCGTATCCCAATGAAAACGCCGCTCGTGCTGCTAACAACGGGGCCCTTCCACCTGATCTTACCACGATGGAGCTCGCCCGACACGGGAATGAAGTAAGTCGCAATTTCCATCTGAACGCTTGATACGAGTGTTCTTTGTCTGGGATTCGGCACTACTGTGGGTACTCATTAGGGGGACCCATAATGATTTCAGGTCCCGACAATTGCAATTCAACGAACTCATCTCGGCTAATTCAACTACTGATTGATTGAATGCATGACTTACGCAACCTAATGTACCCTACAATGCAGTAACAAGTCTGACCTGAAGCTCAAGTCAACCTTACGTAACGCCTGATCGACTGAACATAACACTGAAATGACCTTTCAAAATGCCTGAATTAACTTGGGGTGACTCGTTTAACTGAATGTTGCATCTTACTGACCAATTATACGCCTTACGAAGGCAGAAATTGCCTAATCCGGCCTAAATTGTCGGAAATCTATTCCAATGATTCTTGTTCGAGTTAGATTGAAGTTTAGAAATTAATTGGCACCTCTGAAAATGACTGGCGCGAGATATTCTTTGTTTTAATACGCTTCTGTTTCAAATAAAGTTCGTATTATTTTTGAAGGAATGTAATTTCCATTTGCTGACGAGTTCCAGTCCCCGACACTTGCAATCCAACGAACTTCTCAGCCAATTCGACAACTGACTGACTGAATGCATGATTTACACAACTTAACCTACCTTACAATGCTGGAACAAGTATGACATGAAACGCAAATAACCTTATGTAACGTCTGATCACTTGAACATAACACTTCCGGAACATCTCCAAATGCCTGACTAACTTGAGATAGCTCCTGTAACCCAATCTTGTATCTAGCTGACATTATCGCGTTTCCAATTGAACCTCTTACGAAGTCTTGAACTTCCGAAAATGAGTTCGAATGTTCTTTCTTTGAGTTAGACTGATATAAGGAAATGAATTGGGACCCCTGGAAATGGCTAGCGCCAGATATTATTCGTTACAATACGCTTCTGCTCTGATGAAGTTCGTGTTATCATTTGCAGGATTATATCTTTCATTTGCTGACGAGTTTCTGTGACCCGCCGGCGGGCGTGGACCTCGGCGAAGGTCAGTACTACAATCCGTACTTTCCGGGCGGTGCAATTGGTATGGCTCCGCCCTTGTATGACGAGATCATCGAGTACTCTGACGGTACTCCAGCCACAAAAGCCCAATTAGCGAAGGACATAACAACGTTTTTAAAATGGACTGCTGAGCCGGAATTCGATTTGCGTCAACAGATCCTCCTCAAGGTTAGTGTTTGATGAATGGTGGGAATCGTTGTGAAATTGAATATTTGATCCATTTCCCGACAGGTTCTTGTAATGGGATCAGTCCTCTTGTCTTTGACGTATTACTGGAAGCGGTTCAAGTGGTCAGCAGTGAAGTCTAGAAAGCTATTCTACAAGCCGGTCAACTTCCCCCCTGCCAAAAAATAAGCACCTCTTTTGTTGGAGAAGGCTCCCGTGTTGAATTTCCTTCTGCTCTGTCGCATTACGCGTTATTTCTTTTATCTCATTCATTGTGGGAGAAAAGTTAGTGTCTTTTTAAGTTTTCCGAATTTTTTTTTCTCCTGGCTCTCGAGGTCTTTAGTGCTGAAAGGAAGAGTAAACGTTTGAGGATACATTCTCTTCGAATTCGGTGTTGCGGATTTGAATTAATTTTAAAACCTGGAAACTGTCGTTTTATTTTGTTTTTTGCGTCCTTCTGCGTGTGTGTGTGTAGGTTCCATGAGAGGATGATCCCTTCGCTGGAACAGATTCCATCTCAAGTTGGCTATATGGTGTTGAGTTTGGACGGCGCCATTCTAAACGTAAGTCAGTAAAATAAAATCCATGTCTGCTTTTTGAAAGCTGATCCAGCTGTGTATCAATTCGTAGACGAAGTACAAGACGTTGTTGTTTAATATGCTGTATTATATCTGCTACAATGGGTCAAACGTGGGTTGATTTGGTTGAATTACAGTGGAACATCAGGGAACCAGCAAAAAGTTTGATTTAGCGGAACAAGCATTTTTTATTAAGGGGAAAAAAAGAATTGCGCGAAATGGTAATCGGTGATATTCTGGGCCTTGAATTACTTCTGAAATGAGCTGATCAGATTCTAATTTTTGAGGCAAGGGTTTATTTCCCAAATCAGTATATCACTTCCTTTCAAAATCCAAGTTACATTTGTATAGCTTGTCTCTTTCTTGGGTTGATAAAATAATAGCAAAAGGCATCCAGAAGATTCAAGCTATAATGTTTTGAGGGGAAAGCCTTCAAGTTAAGAAAGTTTTCAATGCATTGTTTGTGAGGGAATTCAGGCAGGGCTAAAAAAAAGGCTACATGAAGTGGTATTTAGCTTATGGAGGTTTGAGTTATCAAGGTTCAACTGTATAGATAAAGTTACATATGTTCATGACAGTGGTGGTGTTAGTTTATGTTAGATCTAGTGTCATGTAAATGTAGTTATGCAGAACAGTGAACACTGTGTGCAAACACTTGTAAAGCTGGTCATGTTCAAATTTTAGCAGCTGTGAATCAAACGAAAATAATCGAATTTTAAGGAAAGTTCCTTCAAGGAATTTCGTCACTTTTACTGGGTCAGTGATTGATTTAAGATGTCATCTCTTTAGTGATTGATTTAAGTATGACTTCGGATTTATTTGCAGTCTGGTGGTCAGTTGTCCAACTTGGAGAATTTCGCGGAAAAAATCTTGAAGCTTCTTCCTGCTTGTTGGGATCTTGTGGAAACAACAGGTTGTCCTGAAACCATCCAAACAATTTCTGGTGAGTTTCGTTTCATATGCTTAACTTATTCAAATTGTCCACTGGTGTTCATTGGTGTTGCAAAATATAGTGGGGTCTTGGTTAACGAATGCCTGGCTTACAGAAGTTCTGGTTTGCAAACTTTGGGTTTGGGCCTTGGTTTACAAACTTTTGTCAGTTCATGTTTGAATGGGTTAAACAATTTTTTTGGCACAATCCTGTGATTTCTTGCTAATTACAATCCTCTTGTTGATGCATTGATCTAAACATTGTTTTGCTCTGAAATTCTGCATAATACAAATCATGTAAGCCGAAGCTTTCCATTTTCAAATTGTGATTGTTTAGAAGTGTTCTATGTGAGCCACAAGTTTACACCGTATAAAATATTGAGATGGACGTCTGTCCCGGTTTTCAAAATTAAAATTCTTCGTACAGTTTTTCAGCCTGTGATTGAAAGCATTCCCGCAAACAGGGGCACAATATTTTTTTTTTCTTTCATTTTTACACATCTAAAAGTGTCGGAATTTTCCGAGATCCCCTAGAGTGGGACAACTCTTAAATCTTTTGAAATAACAACTTTTCAAAGGGCTTTTTTCCTTCAGTGAGTATCTCTTCTACTTCAAGAAATTTTCTTGGGCACTTTCTTTGTTTTGAAGCCAGTTGAAATAACTTTCGTTGTTTCTTAAGAGAAAACGTGATTTGGTTAACGAACTTCGCTCAGGAATGGATCAAGTTCATAAACCAAGACCGTAATGTACAGAGTTATTGAGTCTGTACAGTGATTTCAGATTGTATTTCTTGTATTTCCAGTGAATTACAGCGGTTATTCGTACATCATAGCAAAGTCGAACAATCGGTTGCACGTTGTGAAGCGAGTGTTTTAAAGGAATAACCGAGTCGAAACAAGCAGCCATGAGTGACGAGGAGAACAAGGTTGTGGAAGACTGTGAGGATCCGGAGCTCGAAGACTTGTTGCAAAGTACTCTCACTGACTTCGAGACAAAGACAGAGAACAAAGCTGGTGATGCCGAAGCTTGGGACGAAGACAAATTCATTCAGGAAGCCACTCAGCACTTTCAGCAGTCCATGCGGGCCATGTTGGCCACTGGGGCAGGGGCCACGGATGCTGCGACTGCGGAAGCCGAGTTTTCTAAAGTGAGCGAGTGTAACCCCTCAAAAGAAGCGGGCTAGTTGCGACGGAATCGGTGCATTAAAATTGAGAACTGTATGAATATCTTGTAGTCTTCTGCGAGTGAACAAGCTTACTTCTGTATTTATTTTTATTTTGTTGGTACAGTCAAACGTCTCTTTAGTCGAGCTTCGTGGGACCAGAAATAACTCGAGTTACGGTTCTTTCTAGTTGTGGAAATTTTTAGAGAAAAGTGCGATTTGTCTGTTCAGGCACCGAATAACGAGTTGGAGCTAAGGCCTGACGCTTTTATCTCAGCTTCGAAATTCAAAGGGGTTCCTATCAATTTCGAAACCTAATATTGTGTGGGGGGGGGGGGGGGGGGGGGGCCTTGAATTTCTTCTTGAATGAGTTGACAGGAAGCTGAACTTGAACTTGTAATTTATCCAATTATTCTAACACGCATCAAGTTACATTTTTATTGCTTTTCTCTTTCCTGTATCAATAAAATAATACAGAAAATTTGAGTTATGGAGGTTTGAGGAGGGAAGCTTTTGTTGGGGAGATTTATAATGCAATATTACTAAGAGATTCAGACAGGGGGCTTGAAAAGAACTCGACTTGAGGAGGTATTTGACTCGGGGAGGTTCGAGTTATCGAGGTTCAAATTTTGCAAAGATGAATTAAGCAACAGACCTTGAATTGAAACTGAATTCAAATAATTTTAAACTTATCTGTTCTTTCAAAATTATTTGTTGAAATGGCTCAACATTTTTCTACCAGGATCAAGTATGATGTAGACCTAAACTTCAAAAGTCTTTGTTAGATCTCTGAATGTAAAAAAAAGACATTTTGATACTTGAGTAAATGAGAAAGCTCATACCAAAAAAATGAGAAAAATCGTACGAGTCACCTGAACTATGAATGATCTCGTATCTAGGGTTGTTCATTGTGCCACAACTTGTCACAATCAGAATTGCAATCACAACCATTTTGATTGTGGGATTTAATTTTTTATTGCGATTAACAACCCTGCTTGTAACTAACCTAACCCATCCTACAAAATGACTACCTGATTTGATACTAGCCTCAACCATCCGAACATCTGCCAAATAAGTTGATTGAAAGATGCAATGAATTTATTCGCACTTCCTCAGCAACTGTTATCGCGAAGACGGACCGAATCCGAATGATCAATTGTTCACCCGGGTTTTTCTCCAGGTGTTCGAGAATATTTTCCAAGGTGGACCGATTCCCGGTGCCGCCGCCGCCGCCGCGGGAGCCGAAGGCGGCGGCGCCGGGGATGATCCGATGGCGGAAATGATGCGGCTGATGGGTTCAATGTCCGCCGGTGGAGACACAGCTTCGTCGGATGGGGATACTGCGAACCCGGCGTCTTTCATGCCCATCATGTCTGGTCTTCTCATGCAAGTCCTTTCCAAAGATATTTTGTATCCGTCTTTCACGGGCATCTTGCAACGATTTCCGGCGTACATGGAGGAGAATCGGGGCAAGTTGAAGGCCGAGGATGTCAAGAGGTTTGTGGAATTTTCGTGTGGAAGGGATTGTGTAATGATGCTGGTCGTGTTTTTTTTTTTTTTGCGCGATGATTTGAAATGCTAGTCGTTGCTCTTTGAGGCCATGATATTTTACAATAATATGGGAGGTGTAAAAGAAGATGAAGAGAAGACCTACAGTAATTGGAATCTTGTTAACTTGAGAATAATCTGTGCCGATTGAACCTTGATAACTCGAATCTTCCAAAGTCAAATGCCTCCCTACGTCGAGTTTTTTCAAGTACCTGTCTCAATTCCCTTGCAAAAATGCATGAAAAATCAATCTAACTCAAAGGCTTTTCTTCTTGAACCTCCATAACTTGAATTTTTGAGGCCTTTGGCTATTACTGTATTTTCTTGACCCCTGAAAGTGAGTAGCAATAAAAATGCAACTTTTTGATTATAGTAGAAAGGAAGGGAAAAACCAATTGGATGAAGGCATTGTTGCCTTCAAGTTTAGCTTTCTTTCAACTCATTCAAGAAAAAAAAAATGTAAAGCCCATAATGTCAAAAATTGAAATTTCCTGTGATTCTTTTCTTTTTCCCCAAATAAAAATGCTTGTTTTGCTTATTTGAAACCTCCCTTATTCAAATTTTAATGCTGGTCCCTTGAAGTTTGACTTGGAAGAGGTTCAACTGTACGGTACTGTATTTGATGAACTTGTGGAGATATAAGTGATATTGAAAATGAAAATCAAAAAAGTTATATTTGAGTTATATGTAACAACTGGTAAACCTTCACTACTTTTATCATCTAACATCCCCTTGGTACGTGATACCATAGCTCTTTTGACAAATTCATGGCATTTTAATAAAATATTCATCAAATTTCAGAGGTGTCAACTTGTATAATTCCTGTAGTATAAATATAATGGTTGATGCACCACCACAGTACCGTCTTTTCTTATGCCCAGCATTCCACATCCACAGAAATGAGCTTCAAAAAGAATTGGGACACTTACAATTCAATGGAAAGACTCTTTCCAAAATTTTATAGTACCAAGATAATCTGTTGACCTTATATGATTTCTCCTTGAAGATTCTCTCTAAATTGTTTAAACAACAATGGGAGCAGGCTGAAAACATTGTGCTTTAATTTGGATGAAGGAATTGCTTTAAGCTACAATTCTTATTCCTGATATTTGGTTTTTGTTAACAGGGAAGGGAAGAACGTGTGTGCAATTGTACTTTTTGGGATGTACAGTATTTGCTTTTCCTTCAATATCCATATACTGCTTATTTTTATGTTTTCCATTCTGATGTGATGGAATGTGGGCAAATGAAGCAGTGAATCACGAATGTTCAACTCAATTATGGTATTTGGTGTGATATGTAATCAAAACTGTATTTGTGCATGTAACCACTATGAATAGTGAAGTGCTTTTTGCTTGAAGGTGTGAATTTTTCTTTTGTCAATGTGCCTTCAACTCTCTTTAGTTTGACCTTTGAGATACCAAATGAACAGATTCGATCGAAATCACGATTGCGCAACTGATCCCCTAAACTTTTCAAATGCCGTTTTATTAATCGGAAATACTTGATTCGAGCTTCTCGAGTGACCCTCCTTTAAATTGGACTTATTCTTGTTGATGGTCAAATGCGTCGTTTCGTTTAGATTCGAGGAGCAGCAGAGACTGATGCGACTGGTTTGCGACGAATTCGACGGGGAATCGAATTTCGACAAGATCTTTTCGCTGATGCAGGAGATGCAGGTGCACGGATTCCCTCCGAAAGAAGTAGTCGACGGTGCTGAAGCGCCGCCGGATTTGTCCGCCCTCGGCCTCGACCCCAATTCCCCGCCGGGCGATTGCGTCGTGTCTTGATGTCTTCACGAAAATGGCGTGTTTTCCTGAAAATGAGACACATTTCGAGTTCATTTTATTTTTATTTTTTGGTGCTAGAGATGCACGCTAGAGCTTAGTATGAAGGTATGTTAACGTATTTGTTCATGTTAAATTACGTAAGAGTCGAATAATGTTTTGGTTTTAGCTGAAAGCTACGAAATTTTGAAGCCTGTGAATGCTGACAATCGCTTCCTCTTGAAACCTAAATCCAGTTCTATAAACTGTCTAAAGTAATGTACTAAATTTTAAAGTCTGAGAATCGAATCCAATTTTTGTGGTTTCTCCACCTGTGGGCGAAAAAATATCAACCTGAATAAATATTTTGCGATGAATCGCTTTAGAAAGTTGAAATCTTCGAAAGGTTTCATTCTTCACGTAGTTGTGAATAAAATTTCTAAAAGTTGATTTGAAGATGCGAAATAGATTTCAGTCAGTATTTTGTTGATTTGGTCACATTTTCTGGGAAACACGGCGCGAGATTAGGAAAATTGCCGACCATTATTTTTTTTTGGCATTCTGAGGAAAGGTTTTTAGGGGAAGCAAAGGGTGACAGACCAATTGAAAAAAGAAAAATTATAGGGAGTAGGGGTTGTTTTGGTTTAATTAGTGTCACGTTTTTTGAACGGCGATTTGTGGCCCACTTTCCACAATTTTCTCGGGCTGTGGGAGTATTTCGATTAATTAAATCGGAATTTTACTTCGATGCTCGTGGTTTCATTCATTAGCGTTTTCTCTCCGCCTCATCTTTTTGATCATTGAAATCTTCATCAATTTAAATTTTGCAGAATGTCCCGAAGAAATGCTGTATCGTGAAGGGAAATTTTAAGTTTGAACCGGAAGACATTCGTGGAGTCCGCAGAAGACTTTTCAGTGCTTCGTGAAAAGTTCTTTATCTTTCCTGGTCGAATTTTTCGAAAACTTTTGAATATCCTATGAGGTAGCGTGGGGCGAAATGGGATGTTCGAGGGTTGTCCCAGTTGGACGCGACCTCTGATATTTTTTTTAGTACGTTCGATTTTAGAATAATTATCGTGATGTCCTAAGGTTCTGGGATTTTTTTTTTTTACAGATTGAGAAGAACAGTTCTTCAGTTTACTGTATGATGATGAGTGAAACCTTTCCAGTTACAGCCTGAGTTCTCCACCCGTGTCACAGGGTGTTGAAAATTTGTTAAGCGAACCAAAATTTAATTTTGCGGTTTTTAATCATTGCATAAGATGAATAAATATAATGGGTAAGCAATGAAAAAATGTTAGCTGGCCTCAAAACTTTGAAGCACTCTGTGACATGGGTATCCTATAGGATATTCAACTCTGGCTGTAGCTCGAAATTTTTTCCGCATCATGCAGTAAATTCGAAATAAAAATAAAAAAATCAGTACTTTAGAACGTTATGGGCTGTGTCATGATTGCATTTTTAAAATCACACCTACTCTAAGCATATCAGAAGTATTATTCAACTGGGAGAACCCTCGTATTTCGCTCATTAAAAATGGTTTCTTTTGGAACACTGATCTTTATTTTTATTGATTTCTGTGTTCGTAACGCGACGATGTATTTTTTTTTCAAAGCCCAGTGCGATGTCCGCGTTCGGTGGATAAATGTCGTGAAAAATTGCGAGATACTTGGTCGTCGTTACTATAGACGTGAAATGGCAGGGACAATCTTGAAGAATTACTGCCGATCGGTCGGGCGTTTGTTGAACACGGAGACGTTTTGTGCCAATCACCGATTGAAGATCGGTCGAGCCGCGAGCACCTACAAGGCAGCCATTTGCAATGAATATGGGAAGCCGTTGGTGATTCAGGATGTGGTCAGAACCAAGCTTCTGGACAGTGACGTGAGTTTTGTTTTCTTCTTCTCTCACCTCCTTCTTTTCCTGTGTTTCGATTTATTTTCTGTGTGTGGTCGTGTGAGAGTGAAAATGTCAAGAGTTTCTGAATTCTGTGTACGCAGTGCGCGGAACTTCGAAATCGCTGGGACGAATTAGTGGATCGTGGTTGTGTTTTTTCTACAATTTTTCAATATTTTTAGCGCTCTTCGACAGTGGAAGATTTTTTCGGCACCTTGTTGTCTGTGTTTCAATAAGTTCAAACCACTGCCTCTCCGATAATCTCTGTACTTGACGACGTCGTGGTTCATTGGAAGTTGAGAAAAATCTTCATGACCTGACGGAACTTTGAATTCGCTGTGATGGAGTGGATGTGTTTTTTTGCTTTTTTTTTTTAATATTCCCAGCTCATCGAAAGTTGAAGATGTCTTTGTCATTTTGTTGTCTGTGGTGTCGATAAGTTCAAATTACAGTACTATCTTTGCGATAATCTCTTATGTTTCGTGGTTGTTGGAAAATTGAGCAAAGTCTTCGTGACATAATTTGTATGATTGTTGAGGTCGCTTGAAGAGCAAATGTCAGCGTAAAAGTTGCTTCAGTGTTACTCGCATCAGCATCCATCTTGATTCCGCCCAATTTTTTGAATGTGAGAAATTGGAATCGTCTATCGCGAAAAACTTGTTCCATGTCGTCGAACCCATTTCTCCGCGTAGAACTGAAGTGATTACAGTGACATGGAAGAATTTGGATTGCAGTATTTACCCCAAGAGCTGCATGAATCGTTGCTCCAACATGCGGACGACTCGAGTTAGGGACAATTGAAACTCGTGAAAAAAATCTGGCCAATGGATCAAGATAAGGGACACTTCGCCGACATTGTCCACAAAAAATGGAGAAATTTTATTTTTTAAATTTTGATATCTCGAACAAAGTGGGCTACTGTACAGTATTTATACTGTACTCGCAAAATTGAAAATAAATTTCAGTATGAATTTACTCGAATTCATTTTAAAGAACAAAATTATCGTATCCTCCTTTTTTCAGGGTGTTTTTGATCATCTGTGCACATTATATTGCAAAAATTATTCTTGTTTTTCCTTTTTTAGCTCCTTTTTGTACCAGAAGATCAGATTCTATGTGTTTTTTTTTTGCAGGATTATTTTCCATATCTTGAAGTTGAGGAAAACATTTTTTTCTTTTCAAATTTTTGGAGGGATTTTCCCTATTGTTTAGATGAACACTAGAACCAATTAAATATGTTTGCGTTGTAGTCTATGGGAAAACGTGATCCGACATAAGGACGAAGTCCAAGCAGCAATTACGTCCGCATCTCGGGTTTACATCGTATGCCCAACAATGCAGTTGAGAGTGGGTCATGAATTCTAAACTGAAGAAATTTTCAAAGTGTCCGCATTGTTTCACGACGGGATTTGAACGTTTAAAAGTGAGAGAACAGGCGTGATCAAATTCCCTGGATTCGTGAAAGCAAGCGAAAATTTCTTGCATGGACTGAGTTTCTCAAAGTGATCATTGCGTGATGATGATCAATTCATGGGATATCAACTGAAAAATCTTGATTTATATAATCTGTGAAAGCCGGTAGGTTGTATGTTGAAGCCATTGTATTCCTCGCTGATATTTAAATACCTTTGATGAATTCGTGTCGTGTTCTAATTCCACTCCGGTGTGTGTGTGCTTGTGTGTTTCTCGCCACAGGTTCGAGTGAAGGTCCACGCGGCAGCAGTGAATGTGAAGGATGTGGCTTGCATTGCCGGAAAAGGATACAGATACCATTACACGGGAAAGGCGCCTTTCATTCCGGGATTCGAAGTGTGTGGAGAAGTGTTGGAGGTCGGTGGGAGTGTGAAGAAGTTCCGCATCGGAGACCGAGTCATCTGCTTGAACCATTCGACCCTCGGGGGATTCGCCCAGGAATGCGTCGCTGAAGTTTCTGTACGTCGATCGCTTGTAGATATTCATTTCGGTTTTGGAAAATACGAAGCCATTCTCTCAAAAGCAGTATTTGTTTCCGACTAGAAAAGAAGCTCTCGTACGTGTGTCGTATCAGAATGTTTCCCTTTGATCTGCCGGCAAATTGCCAAAGTTCAGGGTGGGCTATTTAAAGAAAACGGTTATCGACCGTTGACGCGGTAGCAGCAAAAACAATAGATGAACAAATTTAAAATAAAGGAATTTCGTCATGAATTTATGATCAAAACCAGGTTAATTTTGTCCTGCTTTTCTTGGAGTATTCTCCATCATATGTGAACAGTACAGTATAGCAATTCTTGTACGTTTTTTTGTTGTTGCTTTCTTTGGGTCCTTCTGATGCCAAAAGATCGAATTCCATGTGGGTTCCTTCTGCGCAGTTATTTTCTGCGTCTTTAAGTTGAGAAAAAACATTCGATTAAATTTTTGGACGATTTATTCCTAATTTCTGATGACCTGAAGAGCCAAATTGAATAAGGTCCCGTTGAAGTCTATGGGGAAATGTGATCCAACATGTGGACGTAGGCACATACGGTCCAAACTCTAATTTATTTCTGCTTCTCAGGTGCAACATAAATAAATTCGAAGATACTATTCAAATTACGCAATTTTTTTGTGAAAATTGGGATACTGTAGAATCAAGTAATTCATTGACTGACCTTACTTGTGGTAAAAGTGAGCCATTAATGTTTATATCCTCTTGTATTCCTATGGTGTATGATACTTCAGCTGCATTAACAAACTCTTGTCCATGCTGTGGTGGAGTCAGTATTTTTCTGGGGGAGGTGCATTTCAGTTTGACAGAAAGTCACTGAAACGCCCCCCAGGGTGGAAAGGCCCAAGTTGGGAAATATTCAGTCAGAAAAATTCCAAATTTTATTCAGAAATCCCTAAAGTATATCCCATGGTGGGAAAGCAAGAAAAAGTGCCACCCAGTGAGGATTTTTTTTCATGCAAGGTTTTTTGCAGGATCTTGAAAAATTATTGGACTTTTTCTTGATTGCCATGGTTCAAAAATATAGTCTTTTAAAATTTGCAGTGCTCATGGGCACACAATTCTGCAACAATTTCCTGAATTTGCTGCTCAAGGGATAATTAAGGCTTGGGATTCTCACATATTTTAATAGAGAGGGGATGGAAAATTGGCTCAATAATTTCTTTATTGCAGTAAATATTTTCAACAATTTCTTGAATTGGAGTAGAGTGAGACCCTGAGATGTAGACATAATTGGTGCAACAAGAGTGTCCCTAAGTCAAAATGTCCCAAGTCAAATCTCATTTTCCCTTAGGCTTACATTATTTAATTTTTAATTGGTGTTTTTATGTACAAAATACTCACCATAATTCCATGAAAATTAATTGGGAGACAATTTTTATTTTCATGGAATTATGGTGAGTATTTTGTACGTAAAAACACCAATTAAAAATTAAATAATGTAAGCCTAAGGAAAGATGAGATTTGACTTGGGACATTTTGACTTAGGGACACTCTTGTTGCACCAATTATTTCTACATCTCAGGGTCTCACTCTACTCCAATTCAAAAAATTGTTGAAAATAATTACTGAAATAAAGAAATTATTGAGCCAATTTTCCATCCACTCTCAATTGAAATATGTGAGAATCCCAAGCCTTAATTAGCCCTTGAGCAGCAAATTCAGGAAATTGTTCCAGAATTGTGTGCCCATGAGCACTGCAAATTTTAAAAGACTATATTTTTGAACCTGGTAAATGCTGACAAAAAGCAAATGAAGCTCATATATCAATCAATTAATCAATCTTCGGAATTCCGTGTGTTGCTTGTGGAAGTAAAAATGTATGATGGATTGATGTTTCATGTGGTATTAATCCGTCGTGCGGTTTCAGGATTGCTGGGGCATCGACCAAAACGTGGCCTTCGACAAGGGAGCAGCCCTGTTGGAATCCTACGCCACAGCCATCCTGGCGTTTGGTCACCGCCACCGCCTCAAGGGCGACGGGAAGGAGGTGGTGCTGGTGACAGCTGCAGCCGGCGGCCTCGGCCTAGCCGCCGTCGACGTGGTGGCCAACGTGTTCAAGGCCAAGGTGATTGCCGTTTGTGCGACGGAGGAGAAGAACGCCGAAGTGCGGGACATTGGGGCCTGGGCCAGCCTCACGTTTGACCCTGAGCACGTGTTGGCGAAAGTGCGGGAAGTGACGGGCGGCAAGGGCGTCGATATCGTGTACGAGGCCGTCGGTGGGCCTGTTTTTGAGACGGCTCTCAAATGGTGAGGAGGAGGAGGGCGTGAATTGATTGCAGAGTGGACCAATGGAAGAATGCTGTATTTTATGAGGGTTGTCCCACTTCTGATCTGACAAAGGTTATTTCTAGAGTAGGTACAACTACAGAAAAAGAATATGCATATGATGTTGCCCATGCTATTGTGAGGTTCCAGGATTTTTTTCTTCTTGAGATTTTTATAAAAAGGTTTACATTTATTGTACTTCATGATGACAAATGGAAACTTTCCAGTTACTCTGGGAGTTCTCCACACATGTCACAAGGTGTTGAAACTTTTTCAGGCCAGACAAAAACTTGAAAATATCATGTTTATTTTGCACAAACTTTCCCCCATCTTGTGGAATCAACAAATTTTTTCAACTGTTATTCTGTTTGCAAGTAATGAAAACCCGAGTGCATTTTTCCAAGAGCAAAGGGTGTGGCATGGTTGGAGAACTCCCACTGTAACTGGAAAGTTTTCACTTGTCATCATGCAGTGAATCTAGAAATGTTCATAAAAATCTGAGAAAAAAATCCCAGAACCTTACAATAGCATGGGCTACATAATCATTTTATTTTTGTAGTGGTACCTACTCCAGATTATAACAAGGTCAACCAGAAGCAAGACAACCCTTGTATCAAGTAGTAGAGTGTCACTGCAGATGAAAAAACAAAAAAAATGAAAAAAACAATTGCAGAAGTGAGATTCAAACCCACGCCTGCAGAATCAGACTGTGACCTGACCGCAGCGCCTTAGACCGCTTGGCCATCCTGACAACTTAATGTTAATTGATGCGTTTTCAAGTAGGCAAATTAATTCAAGAGCAAAAGGCCACATACTAAATAAAAGGTACATTCATATTTAACAAAATTTAACGTGCAATATATCTATGAATTGCAAAAGGCCACAGACACACGTTACACAACGTCCTTATTATTCCCCCCCAGACCCCTGTAGGATCCTACTGGTTGTTCCTCCCACTGCGGACGTTAAATGAAAATAAGCACCCAAACCCTGAGTGCTTTTCATGTTCAAAATGATGAAATTTCCAATGGAGTCAAATCTTGTTACAGCAAACTCCCAGGGATCTAAGAAAAAATTCTTTGCCACAAAATAGTTGTTGAATTGAGCTTCTTTGAGCATGTAGGACTGAAAGAAACATATGAAAATGCTTTAAAGCAGTGTTTGCCAAGCTTTTTGGCCCCATAGACCTGCAAATTCCCATGAATTTTTTTGCAGATCAACAAATTTCTAGAAAAATTTCTCCAAACTAGCAAAGTTTCATACAATTTCCACCTGCATACTCCAAAGAAAATGTTTTGCTTGAAAGACTCTAGGGCAGGTACGTAGAAAGTTTCTGCTTATTTTGCTGTTGCAAAAATCAAGTTGAGAACCAACAAAGCAGCTATAGTGGATGTTTAAAAAAACAGGAAAAGTTGAGCTTGAAGAAAATTTTCTCAGAATGTGAACTTGAAATATTGTATTTCAGCCGGGGGAAATTTGTCTAAAATTTTACTGAGAAAAAACCATCTTTTCGTTATCATCAGACAATTTCAACTGTCATTGTATTCACAACATATCAGATAAAGATAACAGACTTCATTGCTACTTTTGATGAATTTATTATTCTGGAGAAAATGTCCTGTTGACTGGAAAACAAATTTCTGCAGACCTGCACTGGTCCACGGACCAGGGGTTGGGGAACACTGCTTCAAAGTAATGCCACAACAGGTATTTGAAGAATTGCCCAAATTTCCAACTTCTTTTGTTGAAATGAATGGGAGACAATCCAAAATGTGGAATGCAATTGTCTTATTTCAGAGCTTCCTTTTTCTAAATTTCATTGAAATACAGTAAAATCTCGTTACAACAAATACCGTTACAACAAATTTTTCATTACAACAAAGTTTTTTTAAAGTCCTGGCAGAAAGCCTATAGACGACATGTTTAAAAAATCTCGTTATAACAAACTTGGTAATTCCGTTATAACAAACTTTTTTCAGGAAACTTTTTCATTTTTATAGAAAACTGCTTTAAAAAAATTTGTGGAAATTTTTTCACTCATCATTGAAGCATGAATAAAAGGAGGCTTTGATGAAGGAGAAGAAATGCTTCAAAATCTGGTTCAAACCTGAAAATTAAAATTTGAATTGCAGGGGTTATGCTCAAAGTGATCTTCATTTGCAGAGAATTATTGCTGTGAGCATAACTTCCTTGGATGAAATAAACTTTTTCATTTTTATGGAAAACTGCTTTAAAAAAATTTGTGGAAATTTTTTCACTCATCATTGAAGCCTGAATAAAAGGAGGCTTTGATGAAGGAGAAGAAATGCTTCAAAATCTGGTTCAAACCTGAAAATTAAAATTTGAATTGCAGGGGTTATGCTCAAAGTGATCTTTGTTTGCAGAGAATTTTTGCTGTGAGCATAACTTCCTTGGATGAAATGTAAACAAAATTGTGAATTGATGATTTAAGCCTGTGAAAATGTGTTTAAAGGTTTAAAACACAAATTCACAAGTTTAAATCACCAATCCACAATTTTGTTTACATTTCATCTGAGGAAGTTATTCTCACAGCAAAAATTCTCTGCAAATGGATTTGGCTTTGAGCATAACCCCTGCAATTCAAATTTCAATTTTCAGGTTTGAACCAAAGCAAATCCACAGGTTGATATCATCAATGCACACATTTTTCAACATTGCATCTAGGNTGTGTATGATTTTTTTAAATTTTTTCAATTTTTTCTAACAATAATAGAAATTTTCAAAAATATTCAAATTTTTCCAATTAAAAAAAAATTTGTTATGTGAAATTTGTTCATTCTGCAGGGGTAAACATGGTGTATTTTTGCCAAAAAAAATGTTTATGTGGAAAGTTTGCTCTACAGGGTGGGCTTGTAGTGCAGGGTACCACTGATGTATGCAGATCTGAGCTTTAAAAAATTTTCCAGTCATTAATATTTAAAATCTCGTTACAACAAATTATTCGTTATAACAAACTTTTTTTGCGGTCCCCAAAAGTTTGTTGTAACGAGATTTTACTGTATACCAATCTTACTGAAGTATGAGTGGAAAAAAAACATAAAATACACCTGTGAGAATTCATTCCTTAGGAACTGCATGTTCCCTGAAATGGAGCAATATCTTCCTAACACATTTTTCTTTGCAAAAAAAAGAAACTAAATTTCTAAAGATTCTTCATTTCTAAATTGAAAAATAGGTAAGAAAATCTTTGTTTTAGCTTCATACTTCTTGTAATGCTTGATTTTCTGCAGAGTAGTAATGTATTCCCAATTTTTGAAGATTTACAATTATTCACAAATTGGGTTTTCTACCATATTATGCCACTAATTATAAATTGTTAATGACCCATGCACAGATTATCAGGCAAAAAATGTTAATGCTGAATTTTAGAGGCAAATAAATATGACATAAAAGTGGATTCCTTCGCTAGCAATCTTGTCTACTGCACATTGATTTTTTCTCTAACAAATTTGGTTTTAGTCCCATAGGATTCTCTTTCATGCTTTGGGGGTTCTCTACAAAGAAATTCACTCTATATTGAATTATTCTTTGAATTATGTTGTAGGTATGAAAGTTCACGTGGGAAACAATTTTGTAATATTGTTCCTGTAGGGAAACTTCTGGGACCAAGAAAAATAATTTTATTTCAACAAGATTCATTGTAATGAAATTTGATTGTGTTTTAAGCGAAATCGGAATGTCTCATGTTTGTTTTTGCTTGTAAGAAGAATCCATCAAAGTTGTCAGGTGTTTTGTAAGTGCTGTTCCTCGTATTAATTTTTTTTTTTTTCTTTTCTGTGGACAGCGTGAAGCACGAGGGAACTCTGATCGTCGTGGCGTTCTCGTCGGGCAAGGTGCCGCGCCTCGGGGCGCACCAGCTGTTCGAAAAGGCGCCGGGGATGACGGGCCTGTCCCTGCCGCACTACCGGGAAAGCAACCCGGCGCTGTTCAAGGCTCTGTGCGACGAAGCCCTAGAGCTTTTCACCGCCGGCCTGGTGTCGCCCAAGATATCCTACGAAATGCCGCTGGAGAGCGTGAATGACGCCTTTGCCGTGTTCACGGATGCCCAGAAGACCGGCAAGGTCTTGGTCGTGCCGGATTTGGAGTCGAAGAAGTAGTGGCTGTTTTTTTTTGTTTTGTGTTTTTGTTTTTGCTGCGGAATTTGGTGTGTTGCTGGATTTCATAGCAATGAATGAATGAATGCGATGGCGAGTGGACATGTTTTTTTTTTGAGTCTCCGTCTGGCTTTTGTTGATGACGGATGCGAGCTTGGAATGCAGTGGAGCTTTTCCGTTTTGTTGGCGTCATGGTTTTTTGAGAGGTCCAGGATATTCTTGGATTCTTTGAATGACTGACGCGTCCGGAAGAAATAACGTGGATTGAAATGAAGGAAACGAGGAAGACGTCATCCTTGCATTTTTTTTTTTCATTTTGTTTAACGGGACAGAGGTTTTGAAGTACTGTACGGTACATTTTGATCCTAAGAAGTAAACAAGTTGAATACAGCGCAGTGAACTGGTGTTGCAGCGAAGTTTTGGACGCGTTAAAAAAATTGTTACGCTGAGTATATGGTTGTGATGATATTTTCAAAATTATTGACAGGAAAATTATTTTCATTTCATGCTTGCCTGTACATTAATCAGTTGGATTTTGCTTAGGTGGCATTCCCAGATTTTTCATTATTGCTTGAAAAACTGAGATTAAAAAATTTGAACACCCGAATTAGGATTCAGAAACGAATTAAACCTGAATTTCACTATTTTTTAATTGCTTCCAGAAAAAAATGTTTATCTGTTCGAAATGTTTAAGAATTTTTCCGGAATAATGCATGCTCAAAATTTTAAAACTGTTTGACAAATTAAAACCCATGACGTTTTCTTCAAAAGTCAAGAAATGAAATTTAACAAGTCTCAAAATTCTTAGGTTTTTTTTATGATGTCAAGCTAGTTCAGTAATTTCAAGTGCAATATATACTAGCTGTAACAGACGAACTCTTCAAAAGCTGGCAACTTTTGTCAAATTCATCGTCACACTTAGTACAGTACAACAATTCGACACGAGAGAAAATCAGAAATTCGGCATGTTTCTATCAATTTCTCCACAAACCCGAAACATAACGTCATATTTTTCCCAGTATAAGGACATCAATTTTTTGTGCAGTTGCTGTTGGAGACTAGTCACTTCCACGAAAAACGCTGAATTAATTTCCCCAGAAATCTTAACGAAAAAAAAAACATGTACAAAATACATATGGAAAAGTTCACCCTCACAATCAACCACAAAAAAATAAGGAAACAAATCCGATAAGATGTACAGTATTCTCCAAGAGTGATTTCTTTGGTGGCAGGAAAACTTCACAGCTTGTGAATAATCCTGGGTTTCTCGTGGTCCACATCCATGATCAGGCCCTTGCGAAGCAGGTCCTCATTCTCCTTCAGCTCTGCTTCTGCATCTTCAAACTTTTCCATCTCTGTCAGGAGAATTTGACATTTACAAATTTCAGTCTCCAGAGAAACTTGTTCATAAAAGAAGAGGTACACTATTACCAAGAGGTTCACCAAAAAGACCTTTGTATTGAACACATTTACTATTGGAAATTTCAGATGGTGCTTTATAATACCTTACTGAAGAAATTTCCATCTGGGGAATCTATTAAACATTCCTCAAAAAAAGTTTCTTACACTGGAATTGATAACTTTGTCATAGTGAGATTGTTTCAAGATGTGCTCATATACAGTATTAGCTTTCTCACATAACTTGAGAACCAGTTTTGTTATACTGTACTTGAAAATTTTATGATTATACAGTTGAGCCTCTCTTAGTCAAATTTCTATGGACCAGGAAACAATTTTACTTGAGATTTCAATTTTTGGAGATTTTGAGTTGAGACAAACATTTTTGTTGCAGAGAAAATGAAAAAAAAAAAATTGGGAAATTGTAAGTGAGGATATTCTGGGCCTAAACTTGCTTCTTAATGAGTTTACAGCTTGCAGATCTTGGAGTCAGGGGTTTGTTTGTTCAATTAGTCTTCCATTTAATTTAAGGGTGTATAAAATCATTTGTTTTATTGATTCTCTCTTTCATATTTCAAGGAAATAATGACTAAAAGGCCTCAGAAAATGCAACCCACAGAGGTTTGAGCAAAAAAGATTGCTTCAAAGGGAATCCAGCAGACAGGGACTTTATTGACACAAATTTGATTTAGGGAGGTATTCAACTTATGGGGGTTTACACTTATCAAGGTTCAACTATTGCTGTAACAAGACTTTACTGTACAAAAAATATTCATTAACCAAAAGGACCTTCATATTGAACACATAATTTGCTCTTGGAAATTTCAGATGGTGTCTTTGATACCTCAGTGAAGATATTTCCATCTGGGGAATCTATTAAACATTCCTCAAAACAAGTTTTTTACACTGGAATTGATAACTTTGTCATAGTGAGTTTATACAGTTGAGCCTCTCTTAGTCAAATTTCTATGGACCAGGAAACAATTTTACTTGAGATTTCAATTTTTGGAGATTTTGAGTTGAGACAAACATTTTTGTTGCAGAGAAAATGAAAAAAAAAAATTGGGAAATTGTAAGTGAGGATATTCTGGGCCTAAACTTGCTTCTTAATGAGTTTACAGCTTGCAGAACTTGGAGTCAGGGGTTCATTTGTTCAATTAGTCTTCCATTTAATTTAAAGGTATATAGAATCATTTGTTTTATTGATTCTCTCTTTCATATTTCAAGGAAATAATGACCAAAATGCCTCAGAAAATTCAACCCACAGAGGTTTGAGTAAAAAAGATTGCTTCAAAGGGAATCCAGCAGATAGGGACTTTATTGACACAAATTTCATTTAGGGAGGTATTCAACATATGGGGGTTTACACTTATCAAGGTTCAACTATTGCTGTAACAAGACTTTACTGTACAAAAAATATTCATTAACCAAAAGGACCTTCATATTGAACACATCTAAACGAGAACCTTTAAAGTCTACCACAGAAACTATGGAGTCACTTCTATAAAGGTAGACCCCTTAGATAATTTGTAAGGAGTTTTGTTCAAAAAATGTGACCTTAACTATTGAAACAGTATCACTCAATTCTTTCAAGATTTACTCGATATATGAGCTTTTTCTCACATGACCTGAAAAAGAGTTTTCTTCTACTTGCAGGGGTGTATTACTTGATCCATCTGAAAGACTTTTGCTAAAGAAACTTCTTTCTGCTTGATCAGCGTATACACAGCAGATCGTATAATATATGCTTAGTTTATATACATACCCAAGAACTGCGACGCAAACTTGAGCATAAGAGCAACATTGATGTCCATGATCAACTCATGATCAGTGACGGATGGTGGGCCAATCAAGTAGCGCGAGACGATCCTCGAAATGGCGGACTGGTTCGACATGAACGGGGCATCTGCTTGGCTTTCGTGGACCGAACCTTAATTGAAGAAAACGCATACAAGATGATCATCATAAATGGTCTAACCTAAGAATGAAATACAATGAGACCCCCAGATATAATTTGTGCATCAAGAGTGTCCCTAAGTTGAAATGTCCCTAAGTTAGGTCTCATTTTCCCTTAGACTTAAAGTATATAATTTTTAATTGGTGTTTTATAGAAGAAATATTCTCACCATAATTCCATGAAAATAAAAATTGTCTCCCAATTTGAACTGATTCAATCAATATACAGTACAATATTTCAACACAATATGGACATTTATTTGGGGATTGAATACTGATACCTCTGTACAGAACATAGAAATGTTGGCATTCTTTGTGAAAAAATAAGATCTAAGTGAAGAAGAGAGAAGCAAGTCCCTCTATGATGGAGGACATTTTTTAAAATCAGCTAAATGCATGATGAATTGGTGAGAGAAATGCCCAAGAACTTTTCTGACATCAATTTTAGGATTGAAAATACCTGTTTCTTGTAATTTGGCCTGAAATCTATTTGCAATTTTATCACAAAATGTCCCTATGTTGATTCAGTGCCCTATTATCAGGCCTTTTTTATAAATTTTATAGGAAAATAAGTGTCCCTATGTCAAATTGTCCACACGTCAAGGTGTCCGCATGTGGGGGTCTCACTGTACTGTAATTGATATAAAGTTGAACCTCTTGATGAAATTTGGATTTATATTAAAGGGACCAGAGCAAAAATTTGACCTGGGGAGGTTTTGATTTTTGAAGACTACCAGTAATTAAGGAAACAAACATTTTTGTTGGGAGGAGAAGTAAAAAAAATTGCAGGATCTCCTAAATGAGGATATTCTGGGCCTAAACATGCTTTTTGATGAGTTTACACCTGGCTGAAGTTAGAGGCTGAGTTTCATGCTCTATTAGTCTTTCACTCCTTTTCAAGATGCATCAAATTATTTGTTTTATTTATTTTCTCTCTCATATTTCAAGGAAATAACAACACCAAAAGGTCTCAGAAAATTTTAGTCAAAGAGGTTTTAGAAAAAAATATGTTAATAGTTAGGGAGGTTTTTAATGCATTATTCAGACAGGGACTGGAATAAAATTTTACTTGGGCAGGTATTCAAATTAGGGAGGTTTGGCTATCAAGGTTCAACTGTGTATTATAAATGCAAAGTAAATAAAAAACTTCTTATAAGCCAAACAAAGACTCAATTAAAATGAGGTAAGATTCAAAGGTTAAATATTGTGTGAGATTAAATGCTGGACCCTCAATTAACAAACTTTTTTCCTTCATGAAGAATCCCTTGGTTATCAAACCAAAATTTGGCCAACAAACTTTTTCTACCAGCAGAAAAAAATTCCAAATTTTGTTATGACATGTAAACTCCAGGGAACAATCTAATTGCAGTTCAAATGGACAAATCAAGCATAAAAATGTTTGCAAAAATTTCTAATTTGTTCATGACAGTGGACTTCAGGGTACCATCTACTTATTGGAGTTCAAATGGACAAATCAATAGGGGGACGATGCATGTTTCTTATTATTAAAAAGTATTGGTCAGACCAAAATAAAGGCTCACACAACATTTTCAATGCTTCTTTAATATTAAGTGAGTAATGTGTCATGAATGTTCTCTGTTGATTGAACAGAATCAATTATTGAACAAATGACATCAAGCTGTGGACAAAAATGCACTTTCAAGTAGATTCCTTGTGGTTAGCACTGGGCAACTGCTGAATTTCAGTTACAGCATTATAATATGGTTATCACAATTCATTTTCAGACTGTGACAGTTATCCCAAATTCATACCTGAAGGTTTTACTGGATGAGAATTATTGTTTTCATTAGTCATACACTCATATACTGTACTTCCATATCCAACCCTAAGCACAATATGAAGACCCACAGCAGTCACTCATTCTCATTACTGTATATATTTGTCCTGGTAGGTTTTTTATCACCAAATTTACATTGAATATGATTCTTCATTGAAGTCCATGGAAAAATCGAATTTGGTTCACCAACTTTTGTCTTGAACCAATTAAATTTTTAACAAAAGGTCCACTGTAGTCACTGCAATAGTCATGACTTTTGACAATGTGTGAATATAAACCTCAAAAGCACATGTGATTGATGCATTTTGGGACACTAAATGGGTTTCCTGGATAACCAAGCAGATAGCAATCATCACAGAGAATCGAGAGAATTTGTCTCATCATCCAGCAAAGATACCAAATGACTGAGCTCTGATGATCAATTATAATGATGATTTTTTAGATATTTGTGCACATCATACAGCAGTACATGCACTGTAACTCTACAACATGTCAAAAAATATGCACAGAAGCCAGGCGAACATTCCTCATGATATCATTTTGGCATCAAAATTAATTTTCAAAAAGAACACTGTCAAATCTCAATTCAGTACCATCTGGAAAATTTTGTGGCACTAAATCAAGGGTATCTTGTAAGACAGGGAGGTTTAAATTGAGGGTATCCATATTGCAGGGAAGAAAAACTTGTCCACAGACTTTTTAAGGCACTTTTTTCAGTTCTGAAGAGAGACAGCCACAAGAAATAATTTGAAGCACAAATGCACTGTTTTTTAGGAAGTACTGTATTGCATTAAAAGATATTTAAAATGACTTAAGAGAAGGTATTTGATTAATTACACATATTGTGTCTAGTCTAATCTAAAAAGGAAAACTAAGTTATATTTGAAGTTATATTTCAATTTTAATTTTGTGCCATGTCTCATGTGTCAAATCATTCAAAAATCAGCAATTATTTCCACTCCATTTCTAAAATTTTTACTGAAGGAATGAAGAGTTCATGCAACAACAAAAATGCTTTTGACAATTTCAATTACAGAAATAGAATGTTCATAGTAATATTATATATTCTAATGTGAGCATTGGCATCTGATTCTCAGTGAAAAAAAAAATTAGAACAATAATATCCAGAGAAAAAGCAAGCACTCAATTTTTCAATTTTTGCCCATTTCCAAGACAAGGATTTTTCCTGGCACTAAATGGGTGTTTCTTTTATAAGAACACAATGGACATATGCAGATTTTTTTGGCAAGGGAATTTACCATTTGCAAAATGGGGTACTAATAATCGAGGATTGACTCTACTTTTTTTTATAATGCCACCAGCTCACCTTTGATGGTGATGATCTCTCGGTGGGCGTCTTCTGGAGCAAGGGCCAAGAGCTTGCCCAAGCACTTCTGATTCGGCAGGTTCTGGAAAGCTTCCATGGTGATGCACAACAAAGGAGATTTCCCAATCTTAGGGAACAAGTCATCAGCTTCTGTTCGCAAGGCGTACATCCAAGGATCCAAAGCAATCCCACACCTGTCACAGGGGAAGAAAAAAATTGAACAATGAAAATAAATGCAAGAAGGGCAGATTTCCTAACAGTAATAAAGTACAATCTTGATGCAGCACACTTTTGGGGACTTTTGCAGAAGTTTGCTATGTTTATCAAATAATTCATTGGCACAACATTTTCAAAAGTAAATGTATGAAAAAACATTATTTTCACATCAAACCTGCCAAAAATAAGTTAAACAGTATCTTACTTTTCTGGCATTCTCAGATGCTTGAAAAACTCAGTGATCTAACAATACAGTATTCTGTATTTAAAGTATATACCGTATTTACTCAAGTACCACGCGCACCTTTTTCCCAAATTTCAGAAGAAAAAAAAGGGGTGCGCGTCATAAGCAGGTACAAAATTTTCAAGAAGTTTTAGGAAGTTATGTATGCATTGCAGTATACTTAATTAAAATGGAGAAATTTGGAACAAATTTAACAAAAAAACATTTTTGTATTGAAAAAGTTGAAAATTGATCAGATTTTTGTTCAATTCACGCCTAAAATCATTTTTGTTTTGTTTTTATTTTTGAAATTTTATGGTTTTAGATTCACTAAAAATTGGGGTGCACGTCTTACTTGGGGATAAGATTTTTGCAAATTTTTCAAATGAAAAGCCCTGTGCGTGCCTTACTTGAGGGCACGTGGTACTCGAGTAAATACGGTATTCCTGATTTTCAATAAAATTCCAGTTTTAAATGTGCTAAAAATCATCATTCTCAGTACAACAAATTTTTTCTCAGGTCCCTGGGAGTTTGTTGTAACAAGATTTTACTGTACCATTCTTGAGTGCACCCAAAATCTGACACACAAAAAAATAGTCTGACTTTGCTGCAGAAGATTTAATAAGAATAACATAATGAAGGGAAATTTGTGGCACTATAAATCCAGGGTTGACTGAGTACAGCACTTGATGCTTCTTGATTCCTCTTCTTCTTGGCCTTCTCAAGCCCAGCAATGAGGAGAAGAAGAAAAAAAAAATCGCACACACACACACACACATTATTTTATTGTTTTTTTCTTTTTCTTCTTCTTCTCCACAGAATCATGATGATAAAAAAAAAGCCCAGCAAGCAGCAGAGTTGATATGGGGTACCTATACCTGAACAAGTCGTTCTCCTTGGACAGCACCTTCATGGTCGTCACGCCGCCCATGGAGTGTCCACTGAGCAGGAGCCGGGACATGTCCAGCCGCCCCGCCAAACTCCGCAACACGCCCCACTTGGCCGAGTCCCCGGGCCTCGGGGCATAAAACGAGTCCCGCTTGAGCACGCCGTCGTTGAGCCGACGGAGAAACTCGACGCACCGCGACACCTCGTCGGCCCGCTGGCGCAGCTGCGACGTCCTCAACGTCTGCTCCGTCAACTGGGGCCCGACGCGGGTGTAGGGCATCCATCGCAGGCCAGGGTTCGTCCACAGCGACAGGTCATCGTTGTTGGTGTCGTTGTCGTCGACGGGATTACTATTATTATCAGCAGCAGCATCATCATCGTCACTGCCTTGGCGGGGTGGGAGGGGCGACGACGTCAGCAGGAAGGGCGTCACTTCCGCTTCCACGGCTTCCGGAGTGATGCATGCGGAACCATCTCTGATTTTTTTTTGTTGAGAGAGAGAGAAAGAAAGAGAGGGATTCATTAGAAGAAGAATAAATTGTTTATGTTGTTAAGGATAATGAGCATTGCCGTGAGTCAAATCCCTGATGTAAAGTGCCATCATTTGTCCTCTGGCAAATTTTTTTTGCTTTACAGTAAAATCTCATTACAACAAATGAAGTACTGTATAACTCACTTATTTCAAAGTCCTGGCAGAAATCCCTTAGGATACATGTTATAAAAATATTGTTCATAGGATCATGAGCATTACCACAAGTCAATCGCTGATGTATAGAGCCACCATTTGTCCTCTTGCACATTATTTTTTGCACTACAGTAAAATTTTGTTACAAAAAATACCATTAAAACAATTTTTTCAGTATAACACACTTTTTTAAAGTCCTGGCAAAAATCCAATGGGGCAAATGCTATGAAAATATTGTTTAGGATAATGTGCATTACCATGAGTCAATTCCTGATGTATAGTGCCATCATTTGTCCTCTGGCACATTTTATTTGCAGTAAAATCTTTTGTTGCAACGAATACCATTTCAACAAATTTTTCAGTACAACAAACTTTTTTCAAAGTCCTGGCAGAAATCCTACAGGGTACATGTTATAAAAATAGTTTTATAACAAACTTTTTTTGGGAACATGTCGGGAATTTCTCAATGAACAATGAAAGACAAATGAACCCAACAAAGCTCATGTTAAGAATGTTTTCTGTAAGCTTGAGAAACAATACTGATGCTTGAGAATTGTAAGCTTTTTTGGAACATCCACCCTCACAAATCTGTTCAGGAGTTGCTTACAAAACCTTATACTCAAGAAAAAGAGCTTGTGTACACCTGTTCTTCAGATTAACTGCTTGTTATTAACACACAAATTTCTTTATGAAAATATTAGTTTTTTAAAATGCTGAGAAATACAGTATATGAAAAAGCCACATAAGGAATATGTTGAAAGTATTCAGGTTTAATTTTCAGAAAATCTTCCCATCGCTCAAAAATATCGAAAATCTGGATATAAAAACAATCTGTTATAAAAAACTTTTTCTGAAGTCCCCACAAGTTCGTTGTAACAAGATTTTACTGTTTGCAGAAAAACATTTTCAACCCTTAATTTTCAGATGTGTTCACATGGAGTCAAGCGTTACACATGTCCTGCATTTTTTTCTTTGGTCAATTTCAACACTCGCATGTCCATCAATATCACTTGTGCCCACTTACTGAAGGACAAAAATCTTGGTTCAAGTGAATTGCATTTAGACCTCTGAAAAGAAGAAGGAATCATACTTTTTTCATCTGGTAACTTGCACATCTTGGGAATGTTCAGCAGGCACTCAGGCCAAAAAGGAAATACAGTGAGACCCCAATACATGCAGACACCCCAACATAAGGACAATTCAACTTAGGGACACTTGAAAAAAAAAAAACAATTAGGCCATACATGTGGACATAGGCTCAAGTTAGGGACACTTTTCTGAAAATTTCAAAAAAATCAAAACAATTCATTGTTCATCTTTTGAAGAAGTCAAGCTATTTATATTCACAAAAATTGAAAGAAAAAGTTTAATGCTAAATTTACTGTAATTTATGATCAGAAAGCAAGCTGATTTTGTACTTCTTTTCTCAGAGTTTTTTCCCATCATCTGTGCATATTACATAGCAAGAATTATTTTTTGTTGCTTTTTCATCTCCTTTTGATACCAAAAGATAAGATTCTATGTGATTTTGTTCTGCACTGTTGTTTTCAAAAACTTGAAGCTGAGGGAACTACTTTAATTGAATTTTTTAAGGACTTATTTCTAATTTATGACAAAAACGAGAACCAATTGAATACATTAGCATTGAAATTTAAGATAAAATGAGACTTGACTTGGGTACATTCCAACATCAGGACTTTCTTGATGCACCAATTATATCCGCATCTTGTCTCACTGCATTTAATAATATAAATCAGGATAGATTCTTGATGAGGAATAAGACATGACACACACATTTTTGTACGCCTTTGGCGGCACAGAATAAGTACCAGTATTTATTATAATAGCGTCCAGTACTTTCCTTCATTGCACAAGAAGAAAGGAAAATGTTATCTTGAATTGATCATAAAAAGCCTTGGAGGCAGACATGAACAACATTTTTTTAAAAACTTACTTCACAGCTCGCAAGTTGATGGATTTTTAAGCAGGTATACAGCAACATCAATTTAAGAGAGAAGAATTTAGCATTTTAAGCAATGAATTATAGGATAGATTCCCAAGATTGACATCATAACAAACGATTTTCCGAGTTTCTTTTGACAGCTGAAAAGTCCAGTTTTTTTTGCAGGAGGAAATTCCTAAAAAAAATTTGTTCAATGCAGTGTGGCACCGGCATTGCTGGGGAATTGGGGGCAACTGAGGTGATAACTCCCCTATCAGGCAGGGAGTAGGATTTGGCTGGTGTTGGATTTGTTGGATTGACTTTCCATTGTCAGCAGCTATAGTATAATGTAATTATGTTATCATGACTGCAACAGGAACAGCACTTCAAAATGCAGTCAATACCCAATAATATGCCACCATTGGTCCAGAGAAATTTTGGTAGTTTAATGGGGTTGGCAGTTCATCAAACATTTCATTTTAAATCATTTGATCAAAAACACTTCATTTTCCATAAAAATCAATCAAAATACAGGTTTTCTAGCAATTTTCCAAAGAGTATTGCTGTGATTAATGGATTACTCTTCCAGAAAACAAATAATTTTGCTGCATCAGTTTATTCAAATTTTAAAATTAGATATACTGTATACCGTATTTACTTGAGTACCACGCTCCTTTGAGTAAGGCGCCCACAGGGGTTTTTCACTTGAAAATTTTGCAAAAATCTTATCCCCAAGTAAGACGCGCACCCCAATTTTTAGTGAACCTAAAACCATAAAAATTTCAAAAATAAAAATAAAAGATTTGACTTTAGGCATGAATTGAACAAAAATCTGATGAATTTTCAACTTTTTCAATGCAAAAATGTTTTCTTTTTATATTTTTTCCAAATTTCTCTATTATATTTAAGTGTAATGCAAACATAAGTTTGTAAAACTTCTTGAAAATTTTGTACCCGCTTATGACGCGCACCCCTCTTTTTCTTCTGAAATTTGGGAAAAAAGGTGCGCGTGGTACTTGAGTAAATACGTTATATATATTGTACAACTTTTTCAAAAAATGAACATTATTTTTTCCTCCTTACAAATATACAAGATCCTTGACAGAAATTATAATTCTACCCCAATGTTGGTGTAGCAACAAAGACAAAATAACTAATTATTCAGTTGATAAAAATTTTTCTGAAGACCCTATATAAGTTTGTTGTAACAAGATTTTACTGCTGCTCAAAAAAAAAGAAGAAGAAATGGACAAGTTGAGTGAACTGTTGGTACAGTATAATAAATGAGTATACAGTATATGTATACTAATGTACCTGTGCTCAATTGCCGCAACCACAAACCCGTGGGACGCCAGGTGGGAACACAGGACTGAATAGGAACTGCGACACTGGCCCAGGCCGTGGGAAAAGACGACGACCGGGAATTTCCGCTTGGCATTCTCCTCATTTCCATCGTCACCACTTGTGGCACAGGGTTCCTGGGTGAACAACGGCAAATACTGGGTGCCTGCACAGAGCAATTAAGCAATGAAAATATCAGTGAGAAACCTGACATGGGGAAACCCGCCCAACATGCGGACATTTCAACTTAAGGACGCTTGAAACTCATGTAAAAAAAAAAGTGCCGCAGCATCTGGATGCCGATGGCTACTGCAGATAAGGATACTTTGCCAAAATGTTCCAGAAAATAAAATAATTTTTTTTAAAAGTCTGGTGTCTCTTGGTCAAATTGAGCTACAGTATTTATTTGTTAAAAATTGAAAATACATTTCATCAAAAATTTACTGTACTGTAATTGATAATAAAAAAACAGGCTGTTTCTGTACTTATTTTTTCCAGCAGTTTCTCCATAATCTGTTAACATTATAGCAAGATTTATTCTTGTTCTCAGCTTTTGAAGCCTGTTTTGTTGTCAAAAAATCAGATTGTATGTAATTTTCTTCAGCACAGTTGTTTGGTATCTTGAAGTTGACAGAAACAAAAATTTTTTCTCCTTTTCAGGGGACTTATTCCTATAATTTCTCATGAACAAGAGAACCAATTAAATATGTCTGCATTGAGGGCCATGGAAAACCGAGATCTGACATGTGATTGATCCACTACTATACATGGAAAAGATCATAGGACTAATTATGTCAGCATCTTGGGGTCCCATCACTACACAGAGAGGACCCTAAGGACATTGTACAGGCAATTTGGCTCAGGGACGCTTGAAGTGTAAAAAAAAAATCTGCCACAACATCAGGACAATAATGTTTGGAAATATGGACACTTTTCCAACATATCTCGCAGAGTAGAGAAATTTTATTTTTCAAAATTTGGATATATCTAGAGCAAATTGAGCTATTCATATTCACAAATATTAAAATGAATATCATCATAAATTTGCCCAAATTTATCCTGAAAAAATTTTAATTTTGTATTTTTGATCATTCTCAATTCTCTGTACAAATACCATGACCAGTACTTTTTCTCTGCTTTTTTGCAGGGACTTGGAGCATAGCCAATAGCTGATGGTTTTATTTTGCTGGAGCAGGCAAAATTTTCTGCTGCTCCCTGCTCCAAGCCTGAGATAAAATTTGGAAAGTTTGGGGAAACCCCTTGTATGACTGTTTGGCTAATGTCAGCCAACAGGCACCCTTCCTCTGGAATAAGTCAAAAAGTCCTCTGACTGAAAACATGCATCCCCCTGTTGCTCAAATACATTACAGATGGACTATTTACACAACAAAATTCAGGGGACCAGAAAACCATTGTTATGGAGGTAATTTTTTGCAGAGAATCTGTATATAATAGGTATGGAGAACCATATGGAACAAGAGAAAAATGACTGTACACTCAAACCTCTTCAGGTCAAACTTCAAGGGACAAGCAAACAATTTTGTTAGCAAGCAGGCTTTGAGCTACAGAAACAAGCATTTTTTGTACAAAAAACAGGGAATAATTGCAGGGAATTGTAATTAGTGAAAATCTTAGCCTTGATTAGGCAGTTAAACAGACTCCATGCAATTTTTATTCAAACTATAAATCTACATTCATGGATGTAAAAAATAAAACTGGAGCATCCTGACTCCTTTGATGTTATCAGAGGACTATCATTTTATCATCACAGGTTTCAGGAAAGAAAGAATCACACACAATCAGCAAAGAAAATCTTGAATGGTAAAAGAAAAAAAAACTTGCTTCTCAAACAAATAAAACCTTCTAGCAAAATGCTTTGCATATGGCGCAACTCCCAATAATGTGCAAAATACCAAAGCGCATAACTCTGCAAATTTTAAACCTAGAAAATTCCATTAGGTCTCAAATTGAAGATGTTTTTCAACATACCTGTGTGATACACATAAAAATTCATCCAATTCAAAGATCTTGTCATATTCCCACTCTTCAAAACCCAAGATTTCCTTATTTGATAATGAGAATCTTGAAAACATTCACCCAAGATTCTTATCTCAGTGATACTACAGTATATATTCACATGCCTTTGAGTCAAAAAGTGGATTCAAAAATCCTGATTTATTGTCCATGAATTAATTCAATTTTTGTAACACTCCTAGTTTGTTTATAATAGAAATCTTCAATTAAACCCCTAAACCTTCCTCTCTAACAATGCCCTCATTTTACAGTACTACCCTTGTTATTTAGCAATTGAATGAATGAAAGAACAGGAAGCTTCATTTTCTGCTTTTCAGCATTCACAAGGTTTGATCAACATTCCTTCATCCAAACCCCTTCCTCACCTAACCCAAATCCATTCAGATGCATTCAATCAAATCAGAATGGGAAACAGAGAAATTAAGCTGTATATGAAACTGTACCAAAATAATAGCAAATACATTCCACAATTTACAACTGCACAACTGATGTGTATGTGCGCACCCCCTTCTTTCTCTGAGATTGAAAAAAATATATCAGCAACAAGAATTGCAGCATCAGCCAGAATTATAGCAATTGCAGCAGTTTACTCAACCCAATTTAAAGCACAAGGTCTTCAGCCTGTTCCCAGATGAGGTTTAGTTGAATGAACAATTTAAAGCTTAGCAACACCAGCCGTGCCAAGAAAAATAGTGACACTGAATCCAGGCTTGGCTGTACACTACAAGTACAGTAAAGTACAGTACTTGTATTTCTCGCAGGACGAGTTTGTCTTTGGAAAGAAACGCGTTTCGACACTTTGTTCCCCATGTTGCCAGGTCACATGGTGCTCCTGCTTATATTGTCAACATTCCCTGCGCAATTCCTTTAGGCAGCACAGATAAAGCAGACAAAAGAAGGACGAATAAAAAGATAGACAACATTTTTTCACACAACACACACACACACTCAGTCCACTGACCAATGTGTAATGATGGTCATTGCGACGTCCTACTGATCTCACGGATGACGATGATGATGACGAAACGCGTCCACGCGGTCTTCGAAGGCCGAGTTCCGTAATTCCGAAACATAATTAAGTCCACCTTTTTTTTTAAATATTATTCTTCTTCAATTTTATTCTGCAGTTTAAGAGCGATCGAGGAGTGGTGGGATTATAGCCGAAGGCCAGTCCAGTTTAAAAAAAAAAAAAGGGGGGGGGACAGAAATAAAATTATGAACTGTGCCGACTTCGAAAAGAAATGGGCGACTGATTTTTCCAAACCATTATATATCTCATATACAGTGAGGCCCCCACATGCGAACACCTCGACCTGCGGACAATTCGACACAGGGACACTTATTTTATCATAAAAATGACCCGACATGAGGACACTGACTCGACATGGGGACATTTTGTTATAAAATTGCAAACACATTTCAGGCCAGATTACAAGAAACAGATATTCCCAACCCTAAAATTGATGTAGGAAAAGTTCTTTGGCATATCTCTCACCATTTTACCATCCATTTTGCTAATTAAAACAAATTACCTCCAGCAGAGAGGGACTTCCTTCTCTCTTTTTCACTTGAATGTTTTTTTTTTTAAACAGAGAATGCCAACAGTTATATGTACTGTACAGAGATATCATTATTAAATTCCCCAAAGGCCCATATTGTGTTGAAATGTATTGATTGGGATCAGTTAAAATTGGGAGACAATTTTTATTCTCATGGAATTCTGGTGAGTATTTTGTACATTAAACACCGATTAAAAATTATATAATGTAAGTCTAAGGGAAAATAAGACTAGACTTAGGGACATTTTGACTTGGGGATACTCTTGATGCACCAATTACGTCCACATCTTGGGGTCTCACTGTAGAATCATTCCCGAAGTTCTCTCCTGTATTAGAGTTGAAAGGGCAATTCCATAGTTCAACAGACAAATATCTCTGGTCATATACTTGCATTAGAATGCCCAACAATCAACAGAAGTCAGATTTGATAGTTGCGTGCAGACAAATATGAAATGATAGTTTTCCTGATGCACATGTAATCTCATCAACATGCTTCTAAACTGTAGACAGATGTCGCTCCTTTTTTGGGCATGTCTGAATTCAGTATAATCTCATTACAACAAATACTGTTACAACAAATTTTCCAGTATAGCAAACTTTTTTCCAAGTCTTGGCAGAAATCCTATGTTGTAAAACCCTTGTTACAACAAACTCTTCAATTCCAGTACAACAAACTTTTTTTGAGGGACATGTTGTGATTTTCATGATGAAAAATCCCCAATGTAGACAGGCATTCTCAAATTTCCCATTCAAAATGTAATTATGACTATAGTTCTTGGGACATGAATCCAGGTGGATTCAAGGACACCAATTCTTCAAAATTTCACCTGAACATCCTATCTTTCAAAATGTGTTCATGGGTGTAAACAATGGGGGGAGGTGGTTTTGAGAAAAATAAACTGATCCTAAATACTTGATGTTAAATGTGTCTTGGATGTTTGTGAAACCCTACTGATGCTTAAAAACTGCGAGCTTTTTTTAAAACCTCGCTTAAAAATCTTTGCAGGAATTGTTTAGAAAACATTGAAGTCAACAAAAAGTGCTGGAGTGAACCTTTCATTAAATAAATTTTGTTCATACTTGAATTTATTTTCTAAGATCAGTTTTTGAAACATTGAAAAATATCTGAAAATACCACAACAGGAAGATCTTGAATATATGTGGGTTTCATTTTAATGCATTTTCCCAGCAGTAAATACATAAAAATCTTCTAACAAATTATTTATTTTAAAAACAATTTATGAGGTCCCTTCAAGCTTTTTGCGAACCGATTTTACTGTACTGCAGTTATTCAAGTGACGCACTATGCATTCATCTATATACTGTATCACCAGTTCAAGAAATCTATGATGATTATCTTCAAAATTTCTCAAATTTGAAAAATAGGTTAAATCTTGAGAGGCTTTTGTGCAGGTGCGGTATAGGTTTTTTTTTAATTAATTGTGCCTTTCCTGTTCATTACAGTCTACAAGGAGTTGAACTGTGCTCACATGTCATGCCTTCCACACAGATCATACAGATCAATCTTTTTTCTTTTATTCCCTAGAACACCAATTCACAATGACTGACATGTTCATTAATTACTTCAACCATTATTCCTGATGGAAAAAGAAACTTAGTGCCAGGGATTTCCTTTTCATTTTATATATTAAAAGGATTCCCATGTGATTGCCAGTTTCTGCACAATTTTCTCAAAAATTTATACAGGGATATCTTGCTACAAAATTTCTTTCAGTAGAACAAACTTTTTTCCAAGTCCTGACAGCAATTCTTCAAAGTACATGCAATAAAAATCTTGTTACAACAATCTTGCCAATTCCAGTAAAACAAACTTTTTTTTTGAGAACCATATTATTGTGATTTCTTGACTAAGAATTGCCAAAGAAGGCAGGCACAGTCTCAAATTTCCCATTCAAAATGTGACTGTGTTCTAGGGACATAGGGTGGAATCAAGGACAAACATTCTTCAAAATTCACCTGAACATCCTCTCTTTCAAATTTTTCAAATCCTGGGTCACGAAACATGGGATTAAAGGGATAGAACCCAGCAAAACTCATGTTAAAATTGGTTTGTATGCTTGAGAAAACGTACTGATGCTTGAAAATTGTCAACTTTCTTGGAACATCCAACCTTTTAAACACCCTTTAGCAGGATCAGAAAAACTCTAGGTCAAGAAAAAGCCCTAGTGTTTACCTGCTAATCAAAGTAAATGCTTGTTAATACTGTAAAACTAAAATTTATTTTTGAAGATCACAATTCCTTTGGCATTGAGGTTGAATTTTGGTTTAGATGGGTACAGAAAACATCAGCTTTAGAATATAAAGCAGTTATCACATTTTCATGAATTACTGTATCTTGGCAGAGCAAACAATACAGTAATTGGCATGAGAAATGACTGTGGCTACAGGGTGTTTAAAATAACACAGAAGATAAGCTCTGTAAATTGGTCTTCAACTTCTGGAAAAGAGAACTCTTACAGAATCCACACAGAAAAAAAAATCAAATGAGAACTTCTTGGGTAACCTTTCACAGTGACTTGCAGACAACTTTGAAAAATAGCTAGTTTAAAGCTGACTTTCTTATGGACTTCAGCTCAAGAAAAGTCAAACACTGCATTGCAGAAAATACTTGAGCTTTTTTTTTCTGTGGTCCACCCATTAGTCTATATATAGCCTTTCACTCAAGGATCACAGGTTCTCACCAGGTTTCCAGTCTGTTCACAATTTTTATCAGTATTTTTTACTGCGCAACAAACAAACCGGCTTGAATGACAGTACTGCATTGCTTCATTAGCAGACAACTGATACCCTACATTCATCAGTCAAGGTTTGTTTCTTTTTTATAATTTCAATAAAGTGACTGAGGGATTCCAGCTGAACTCGGTTCGCAATTTAAAAAAGAACAATGACTTTCATTAAACAGTACTCATCTGCCTTTTGTATTCTTGTCTATGCATATATATATATATATATATATCTATATCTATATATATATATATATATATATATATACGCCAATGAGGAAAGATGGAAAATTATCGTGCGGCGAGGGGAAGTCGTGCGTGCTGCCGGGGAATATAACGACAATCATAATAACAAGCCTAGTATTATTATTATTATTGACATTTGGGAGTTTTCTTCGCGAATGGGCTGCCGTTTTCGAGGAAAGGTTTTTTCTGTGATTGAAAACACACACACACACAAATTGGCGGAAAATAAATGCTCCCTCTTTCGTCGTACTAGTGAAGGAAAACGGGTCTCATCACAAGTCTCGAGAAATCCCGAGAATAAATAACGCTCTCAAGAGAAATCGCGCCTTGAATCATTCTTCCGAGTGCTGAAGGGGATTCATGAATATTCCAGTAACGAAATCTTGCGTCTCGTCGGGATTTGCTGTCACGATGATGCAATTTAAAATTTCAGGCATGAGTTTTCTGCGGAGCCTTTTTTTTTCGCCCGGCGTGAATCTTCGTTGAAAAACAATTTGAACCCAACTCGAATTGCAGAGCGTCAAATTTGAAAGAGAAAAGAGCATTTATTAGCGCATACGTTTATGCCTCAAAAATCCCGTTTCTTTCAAAAATTCTGATTTTATGATGCAGAAAACATTCAAGTTGTTTTTGACTCGATGTAATTTCTTTCCCCAAGTCCTAAATCCAAATTTTAAACGACATACACAATCGACTTTTTTTTTTAAATTACCTGTACAGTACAATCATGCAAGGCAGCGGCGAATCTCCTGCATGGATGACGGTTTTTTAAATGACGGATTATGAGAAGTGATACACATTGTCAAAATAAAATTGTGAAAAGAAGACAAACCCCGGTTTT